ACATAATAGATAATGTAAAAGCATAATACAGTGTGATCAATAATGGTTACCATAATGCCTCCCGCTATCTCTAATAGAATTGCCTATATCATCAGTTATAATAAAATTAAACAAAATAGTAAAGAACAAAACTGACAAAACCAAAACATTGGAGACATTATAGGTCTTCAAAAGTAGATAATAGTCAACCAGAATGGGCGTCATAATGAATCCCACTATCTTCACAGCTGTTGCCTAAACTTTCAAACCCGGTACTATCAAGCAAAGCAGAATAGAGGAACATCAGTCAAAAACAAGATGGTGAGAGTAATACAGGGCTTTAAATCAAGATAATGGAAAGTCAAAGTGGGTTACTATAATATATCCTGCTATTTTTTATTTATTTTTCCCTTAATTAAAAGGATAAAAATAAAAAAGTAAATAATGGAGTGGAGATTGAGATAAAAGAGGGCATAACAGCAAAACAGCGCAGATCAAAACACAACCATTTAAGCAGAATAGTGTTTCACCACAAGATAATCCTGACATAAAAGTAGTTACCATATTGTCTCTTTCCTTGAAATCCTTGAGTACAACTTTGTATACTGTAGCATTAAATATATCAAAACAATGTAAAACCATTTAAGAGAATGACAGCATTACAGGGTATTTAGAATCAACTAACAGAAAATGAACAATGGTTTCTGTATAATCTCCTTGTCTTTAAAAGTTTTTGCTTATACTATCGTACATAATAAAATCCAGTAAGATACAACCTGTTTAGACCAATGGAGACAGAAGAACAAAATGAGAATTCATTGATGAGACTTCAAAACAAGATGATACTAAATCAGTATTACATATTAAGACATCATTTTCTCCAAAATAGCAGTTCCTATCATCCAATCTTCTCTGCCTCATTTCTGTTGAGCTCTTTTTCTGTCATTAGTTGTCAGTTTGTCTTCTTCATTTTGTTTTCTGCTCCATTCATTGTGGCCTCTCTGCTGCTACTTCTCGATTTTTCGTATTTTTCTTTTTTAGAATATCTTGCAGTATTCTCTGTAGAGTTGAATTGGTGGTTGTATATTCTCCTAGTTCCTTTTTATCCTGGAAGCACCTTGTTTTTCCATCAGTTTCCAGGAATAGTTGTGCAGGATATATCAATCTTGGCTGGAGATTATTATCTTTCAAAGCTTGAATTATTTCCCCCCACACTCTTCGTGATTTGATGGTTTGTGCCGAGAAGTCTGCTGTAATTCTGATGGGTGTTCCCTTGTAAGTGGTCTGTTTCTTGTCTCTGACGGCTTTTAATATTCTGTTCTTGTATTGAATTTCTGGAATTTTAATTATTATATGCCTGGGTGTTGCTCTGTTTGGGTTGTAGGTGGCTGGGGTCCTGTATGCTTCATACAACTGAGTATCTTTACCTTTTGCTAAGTTAGGAAAATTCTCCTGGATTATTTCTGTGAGTAGCTTTTGTAGTTCATTTGTTTGTGTCCCTACCTCTTCTTTTATGTTCTTAATTCTTAAGTTATGGATCCTCTTATCATCTTCTAGTCTTTGTATTATTGCTGTTTGTTTCTTTCTTATTTTTAAGAAGTTTTTCATTTTACGCTCCCATATTACAAATCTGCCCTCCAGTTCAGATAGTCTGTCCTTAGTTTCTTTCAAGCTGTTATGCCAGTTTTTGATAGAGTTTTTAGTTTCCTGGTAATCTCTTTGAACCTGCTTCATGTATTCTATGCTTTCTCTATTTTCTCCATCAAACAATTCTCCCCTCATTTTCTGTTCTTCCATTCCACCATCTGTTTTTTCTTGGGTGGTGCTTAGCATTTCTCTAACTATTCTGCTTACTTCTAGCTTCAGGTCATTAATAACTTCATTCCTGAACTCATCTGTGAGGCTCTCGAGATGGCGCTTTATGTCTATTGGTGCGGTGTCTGCTATTGCCTGTTTCTCAGGATTGGGGGCCGAAAGGCCTTTCTTGTTGCTCCCTCTTCCCATATTCTTTGTTCCTTATATATGCAAGCGTATATAGGAGGCCCAGATTCCTTCCCTGTCAGCCACAGTCTGATTGAATTGCACCAGCTAGGTGTTCCCGCCCACCACAGCCCACCAGGAAGCTGCAGACCAGGCAGCCTATGCAGGGCCCGCCCCTCCAGGCCACCCTCAGGCACTGGGATCTGGGTTGTGCTAGCCTACTGGGTCTCAGCCAGCAGCGTCACGTAGGCTAGGTACTTCTCACCAATCCCGCTTGAGAGGGGGATACGTGGCTGAAGTCACTGCAGCACCCTGTTCCCGCAAGTCTGCCCGGTCCCAGAATGTCCTCTGTTGGAGTCTCCTAAACTGTGGAAGAATCTCAGTTTCTCTCACTCACCTCACCGCAAGTCAATGCACAGCTCCCCGCCCGTCCTGCTTTCAACTCCGTTCTCCGATTCCCATTCTCAGAGCTTCCACACATCTTTCTCCCTGCCGAGCCGATGTTGATGCAGCCGCTGCGCAGCAGGAAACCCAAATCGTGGCTTCCAATGCCGCGGGCACCAGCTTCTACACTGAGGCTTTTCTGTTCCTGTTATAGCACCAGGATTGCATTCCAAGTTGGTTTCTCTCAGCCCAGTTCATTCTTGGGTCAGTGGGGCATATCTCCTCTTGCTTATGATTCCTTACTCCGCACCATTCCTGAATTCTAAGCTGAGTCTTTCAGAGAGCCTCCGTAGCTGCTGCTATCTGTCCGCCATTTCTCCCGGAAGTCCGGCCCTCCACTTCTGTTTGGTGATCCTTCTCTGCTGCTGTTCCTGGAACCATGGTCATCTTTATTTCTCTCTAAAATATCCTTTAGCACTCTCTGTCATAAGTTCCTTCAGTTGTTCTTTATTGCAGAATTATCTTATATTTCCATCAATTTTGAAAGATAGTCTTGCAGGGTACATCAGTCTGGGTTGGAAGTTGTTTTCTTTCAGGATTTGAAACACTTCACTCCAAACTCTTCTTGACTTGATAGTTTGTGTTGAGAAGTCTGCCATGATTCTGATTGGTTTTACTTTATAGGTGATCTGTTTCTTTTCTCTAATAGCTTTTAATATTCTGTTCTTATGCTAAATTTCTGGAATGTTGATTATTATATGTCTGGGTACAGATTTCTTTTGGTTATGGCTAGTTGAATTCTGTATGCCTCATTTATCTGTATGCCAGATCCTTTCCCTGTGTTTGGAAAGTTTTCTGATACTACTTCTGTAAATAGCCTTTTAATTTCATGTGTGTTGACCCTTTCTTCTTCACTAATACCTGTTACTATTAAATTATTTTTCTTTGCATTGTCTTGCAGTTGTTGAATTGTTATTTCCCGGCTTCTTGTTATTTTTTTAAGAGATCTTTCTTTTCACAATCAATAGCTTATTTCCTTTTTTTGATAAGATTGGGTAAGGGTTTGTTGATTTTATTTAATCTTTCAAAGAACCAACTCTTTGATTCATTGATTCTTTGTAATTTTTTTTAGTCTTCAGGGCACTAATTTCTGCTCTGGTCTTTATATAATTTCTTCTCTTGCATGAGCTTTTGGCTTAGCCTGCTTTTCTTTTTCTAGACGTTTGAGGCCAACATTAAATTGTTTATGTGTGTTTGCTCTGTTTTCCTGATATTGGCATTTACTGCTATAAATTTTCCTCTCAAGACTCTTTTAATGTGTCACACAAGTTCTGGTATATTTTATTGTCATCATTCAACTGTAAAAACTGTCTGATTTCTTCTTTAATTTTATCTGTGGCCCATTGGTTTTTCAAGATGATGCTATTTAATTTCCATGTATTTATGAAGTTCTTGTGGTTTCTTTTGGAATGGATTTCCAAATTCAATATACTGTGGACTGATAGTTGCATGGGATAATTTCAATCCTTTTGCATTTTACATAAGTATGTTCTATTAGCCAGCATATGTTCTATTTTCTTTCTTTTTTTTTTTTTTTTTATCGGTACTGGGGATTGAACTCACGGCCACCTGTTTGCAAGTCAGGTGCTTATGCTGCTGAGCTAAATCCCCAGCCCCAAAATGTTCTATTTTCAAGAATGTCCTGTGTGCCACTGAGAAAAATATGTATTCTGATGTTGTAGGGTAGAACACTCTATACACATGTACTAAGTCCATTTGCTCAAATGTTTTAGCTCTAATATTTCATTATTGATTTTTTGTCTAGTTGATCTTTTTGTGACAGTAGGGTATTGAGGTCTTCCAATATAATTGTACTAGGGCTTATTTGATTGTTCATCTCCATTAGTAATTGTTTTACATAGCTAGGTGCACTGGTATTTGTTGCATTTATATTTATGACTGTTATTTCTTCCTCTTGGATTGTTCCCTTTACAAATATTTAGTGACTTTCTATATCTCTCTTAATCAGTCTTGACTTGAAATTCACTTTGTCTGTAAATAGTTACCCCTGTTTTTTTGGGTGGGGGGGGTTCCTGTCACATGGAGTATTATTTTCCATCCTTTGACTTTCAGTGTATGAATTTTTTTTGAATTAAATGTTTCTTGTATGCACCATATTGTTTGATCTTGCTTCTTTATCCATTCTGCCAGTCTATGTCTTTTGACTGGTGAATTGAGACCATTAACATTGATAGTTAAAACTGATATGTATTGACTTTTTCATGTCATGTTATGTTCCTGTTGGTGGCTCCCCCCCATTTTATTTCCTTTCCTCTAATTGTTTGCCTTGCTTGGTGAATTCCTTCTGTTGGGGTTTATAGAGCTGTAGTCCTTATTATCTCTTTCTAGAATGTCTAGAACATTTTGAGAGTGCTGGTTTGGTAGTCAGCTGTTATTTGTCTTGGAAATACCTTATTTCTCCATCAATTTTGAAAGCCAGCTTTGTGGAGTACATCAATATGGGTTGATGGTTGTTTTCCTTTAGACCCTGGAGTACTTCACTCCAAGCTCTCCTTGACTTGAGAGTTTATGCTGAGAAGTCAGCTGTGATTCTGATGGGCTTTGTTTCTTTTTCCTAACAGCTTTTAAGATTATATTCTTGTGTTGAATTTCTGGAATCTTGACTATTATATGCCCAGATGTAGATTTTTCTGTTCATAGCTAATTAGAATTCTATACTGCCTCACTAATTTGTATGTCAAATTCTTTATCCCTGCTTGCAAATTTTCTGTCATGACGTTTGTGAACAGCTTCTTAATGTCACTTGTGATATCTCCCGCTTGTTCATTGACTCTAATTAATCTTAAGTTAGTCTGCTTTATCTCATCTGTCAGGTGCTGAATTGATTTCTCATGGTCCCTTGTTATTTTTGAGAAATCTTTCTTTTCAAGATCACTAACTGCAAACCTGTCTTCAATATCTGAGATCCTGTCCTCACATTGGCCTAATCTGCTTCAAATGGTTTCAATGGGATTTTTATCCTTCTGAAAATCTTGAATCTGCTTTATGGATTCCATTTCTTTCTATATTGAGCTTCCATAATTTTCTTGAGCTCGTCTATTTTTTTTTTATCTGTATCTGCTCTAATGTCACTAAGCGTTGTCTTTATTTGGGACACCATCTCTGTAGTTATTTGAGAGATGATTTCTGATTTCATTTTTTCCCAGAGCTTCATTCTGTTGCTTTGGTGTTACCACTTCAGAGAGACCTGGTGGTGGTGGGGCTTTCAGACTGTCCCACCTCATTGGCCCCTGGGTTTGTGTTGTAGTTAGGGGTTGTACACAGAAAACAATCAGAATCAGGACATGGAGTTTATAATACTATTTTTATAATGGTCACCTGGAGTCAACACATTAATGTCTTAATGCCTCCCTTCTCCCTCTTCTTGTTCCCCACCTATCTATGCTGGCAACTTTCCTCAGGTGGAGCGTCTTCGCTCAGTGCCATGCTGATGTAATTATAGCTGGCGTTAAGTTGACCACCAGTTCTTAATCCGTAACAGTTTGTCTTTGGCATTTTGTTTAATTGTCTTCTCATTTTCCTTTCTTTTCTTGTCTCTTTTTAAAAAGTTTAATTCCTGGTGTGATGCTTGTAAACTACCTATGATGGGTTTCTTTACTGCAAGTATTTAGGACCCTTAGGTGATGACTACTTCTCTGGGTTATCTTCCAGGTAGAACTGGATTTTGGGTTTTGAATCTGTTGGAAGATCCTACCTCTTCAGTTTGTTGGAGATGAGAACTTGTTGTTTGTTTGGTCAAGTCCCTGGTTCTTTGGCACTGTGCCCCTATATTTTCTGTGACCCTAGTCAGACTCAGTCATGGAATACCAGGACCAACTGCTGTTTAGAAAAGTTATATCAATTTTGGTTATAATGGTATCAATAGCATCAAACTTAGCCTAGAAAACGACAAACTGAGCTAACTCTTAATTTTCCACTTTTAACCATATGAACTAGATTTGTGGTTATATAAAAAATTCTAAAATATACCAGAAAATTATATGCAGTATACAATGATATGTCAATTTTGCCCTTGGGGGTTAATATTTAAAATAGGTTAAGGAGAAAATAGAAACATGGAAGAAGAGGGAGAGAGATTAGAAGTAAAGTTGGAGAACAAAGGGGGGTCACACTAACTTTGAGAAACTGATGCAGAAGATGAGGGAAAGAATGAAGGAAGAGATGAACAGAACAGAACAAAATCACAACCACAGTGAGGCTAGAAACCACTGTCATGCTTATATAAAAACAAGATCCAACGATGAAGGAAAAAGAGAAAAAAGAAAAATGAAAAACAAATGTGAGAGGAAACAGAAGAAAGAAAGAAAGAAAGAAAGAAAGAAAGAAAGAAAGAAAGAAGAAAGAGAGTCACTTTCCAGGTTTGTCCAGGTTTCTGTGTGCTTTCAGGGCCAGACAATCGGTGGAGAGAGTCCTGAGCCAGGCCCATCTATCCCAGCAAAGCAGCAGTAGCTTTTTGGTGAGGCAATGGGTAATCTCAGTACGGCTACACTTTCTGGTGGGACCAGTCAGCTGCGCTTGGCTCAGCGCCTTCTGAGCACCTCCCATGGGTCTGAACCCTGCTGGGAGTCACTGGATGGAGTCAGATGAAGTTCTGGGTTCTAATCTCAGCTGCCTGTCCCCAGGATGGCTCCAGGCCAGTTGCTCTCTCCCTGGGAAGACTGACCCTTGCTCTCACGGCCAGTCGGTGCAGTCCACCTCTGATACTCCCCCCCACGGCCGAGACTGCTCACCAGCCATCGCGGCCACCCTTCCAACCACTCCCCTCACACAGTGAGTGCCATCTCAGGGGCAGGGTACCACAGGCTGCTGCTCCTCTGTTGAACTTTCTGCCTTCACTCTCTCTGAGGCTCCAATTCGTGCTTCGGGTTCCTCCTGGGCCCAGGGAACCCACTTTCTCCTTCTTGTCTCCCTCACATTGCTGTATTTCTGCATCTGGGTGATAACTCTGAGAAGCACTTTCTCTGCTGCTTACTACTCCATCATCTTGGACTTGGTCGCAGGTTTTTTTAAAAATCAGAGTAGCCCTTGCACTTGCCAGGCAGGTGCTTTGCCACTGAGCTATCTCTCTGATCTACAAAATTTATTATTATTATTTTTTCAATCAGATTTTATTTGTACATTTTTATATACATAATAATCACCTTTCTCAGAGAATTTGTACCTGTACATGACATAACTTTTTTTTCTCCATTTCCCCATCCTCCTTCAACCCTTCCTGGGGAAAAATATTTAAAAGGAATTGGGGGAAAAATAGAGAAATAAAAGAAAAGAAAGAGATTAGAAGCAAGGCTGGAGGACAAAGGAGGATCACACAAACTCCAGGAAACTCATGCAGAAGACTGGAGGGAAAGAGAGAAGGAAGAAATATAAACAAGAACAGAATGCCAGCAAAAATAACCCTAGAAACTATGTTCATATTCATATAAAAATGAGAATGAAGAAAAAACCCTAAAAGCACCAGAGAAAGGAAATATTAAAAAGAAGATTAAAATGCCCACTTCGAGGTGTGTCTCTGCTGTTACTGGTAGACAACACTGGCAGAGTCCAGATCCCTGACGGTGGGTGGCAGCAGCTTACCACATGATAGAGGATGATCCCAGCAAGCTGGTGTCTCCACTTCCCTGAAGTTCATGCTGGCCTCACGCTGTGAGGCTGAATCACACCCATCTAGCTTGCTGTAGTCCTGGAGCCCACTGAGGGTTTGAACTCACTTGAAGCCATTAGGCAGAGCTAGCAGCTGCCACAAGTCCCAAATTCCGTTGGCCTCTATGGAAGGTGGCCCCTGGCCAACTGCTCTCTCTTACAGGATGTGGGGGTTCAAATGGGAGAGCTCACCAGCCACTGCAGCCCACTAAATCCAGCGCACTGCTCCACCCATGTGCTTCTTTGTGGAGGCCTCAGGTTGCCAGCTGTCACCCGGCATCTGCAGTCTCAAGCCACCCTCTCGTGCAGTAAGTCCTAGTTGAGGAAGAAGGCACTGCTGGCTACCTCCTGCTTCGCTGAAGTGTCTTAGTTCTCTCCAGGCGCTTCGTTTTGCTTCAGATCCTTTTTGGGTTCTGAGGACCCACTTCCCTCCTTCTCTTCGTCATGTTGCTATATTCGTTTGGACACCAAATCTTGGAGAGCTTCTTTCTCTGCTGCTCAGCACCCCACCATCTTCCCACCCCTTTTTGTAGTTTGTTAAGTCATTAAGTTGCCCAAGCTGAGCTCAAACTTGTGATCTTCCTGCCCCAGCCTCCCAGAGTGCTAGGGTTATGGCCAAGTGCCATCATGCATAGCTATTTTTAATATATGTACTAGTATGTATAATGAAGAGAAAACCACTATCAGTCTAAATGCTTTAATTTCCCTTAAAATACTTTAATATGAGGTTTAGGCTTTGATGTAAAAAACTTGACTTGGGGAAAATAAACAGAGGAGGTAAAAGTCACAAAAGGAAAAATGCAAAGCTATGACTCATAACAGCAAAAATTAGAATTGGTTAAATTGAATTAAATTTTCACTCACGAAGAACAATGTTGTTAATATTTTTTTTTTGTCTTTTTCATTTTTATCGGTACCAGGGATCGAACTCACGACCACACACTTGCAAGGCAGGTGCTAATGCCGCTGAGCTAAATCCCCAACCCCTGTTAACATTTTTTTTAGAGAATATATTTACCAAGAGAAAGAAAGCTCTGTGAAAGAGAGTCCCAAGTGGGCCACCAAGGACCCCGTCTTCCCCAGAGAATTCTACAGAGCAAAACCACAAAAGGTGAGATGAGTCAAAGATGGGGAAAAATGGGAACCCACAAGGTAGGCATGAGGCGGGACAGAACCACGGTCCACCAACAAGATTATGAGTGAAATGGCTCAGGGGAAATTGACCAAATCAGGAGCAAATGGGAAGCAAGTCAGGTAGCCAGTGGGTACCAACACAGAACAGGGCCTTTCCCTGTAGGAGGCTGGGTTGGGCTCGTGGCCCCTCTGGCTTCCTCAAGGTGACCAGCACCCACTTAGAACATCAGTCCCTGATGTTTGTACTCAGGGTGTAAATTGCATCTGTTCTGTCCCCTGTCCTGAGAGGTGACTGGGCCTCTGCACTGGCTCCCCCTAGGGCCCAGCCCCGTCTCTGACTGCCTGTATCTCTAATCAGCTCAGCTGCCCATAACAACCCTCCTCTGAAGAAGTAACCGGACTGCCGCCATGAGGGAGGAGGGCAATGATCAGTCTGGCCTCTTCAGGCTGAAGGGGGTCATAGTTGTTGATGGGCAGTCAGAGGTGCTCTTCAAAGGGTCTATCTAAAGGCCCTTAATAGACACCAGGCATTTTCACTGGGTAAGCATACAGCTTAGTCTCTGTCCAGTGTTCTCAGGGGAAGACCTCCAAATGATATACGGGAAAGAAATTCCCAGCCCATCAGACATCTGGCACAAGTTCACACCCTCCAAAATTGAGGAATCCCCGGAACAACAGAGGCCAACAGCAGAACACATCTATCAAGAGAAAGAAAGAAAGACAGGAGTCCTCAGTGGGTTGCCTTTTTTTTTTTTTTTTTTGAGACAGGGTCTTGTTATGTAGCTCAGGCTGGCCTAGACTATGTAGCCCAGGTTAGCCTCAAACTCACAGCAATTCTCCTGTCTCAGCTTCCCAAGTACTGAGGTTACAGGTGTGGGTCACCACACCTGGAAATAAACATGTTAAATAAACATAAAATAGAAAACTTAGCAACTTGTGTCGTATTAAAAACTGTTCAGGAAATCAAACTGGCTTAACAGTCACAGTTCATTCCAGGGGAGAACCTTCTGGCTGAAAGTCTTTATATTCTATGATTCTTATTAAAAATTTAGCTCTGTGTGGCTGCCACCTGGGCTTTATGGCTGAGCAGATTCAGTGATCTGCTGCAAAAGCTGATGTTGTACAAAGCCTCCAGTAGCCCTGAATGCACACTCACCACCCAGGACTATGGGGTTCGGGATGAGATCCAGGCTTTTCTGCAGTTTGTTAATCTCTCCCTTTGAGAAACAGCGCCCTCTTGCTACTGGGCCCTGGCAGATGTGAAGCACATAACCAGGAACCACCAAGCATGACCTGGATTGCAGTCACCAACTTGATGCTGTCCTGCCCACCAGCGCAGTGATGGCAAATCTTGTAGAGCTATGGATGCCATAGTTTTGCCACTACTGCACCAAGCATGGGACCCGACTGATGCAGGGTATGTGTGGGCATCTCATCATCCCAGCTGATGCCTTACACAGGAAGTGATGATCTAAGCAGTGGTGCAAACTCATGGCACGCACGGGGCAACGAGCACTCAGAACCTTCCATCTGCACAATGGCCAAGTCACCTCAGTCACCAAGCACTGGAGTATCGTTTTTTTCCTAAGCTCAGTATTAAGGTTTAATTGCTGTGTTGGTGCTTTGCAATAAATAACTGGGCTTTGGGTTGCAGCAGGGTGCGGGTCTCTACAAGGTTCCCCATCTCTGACCTGAAGCCCTTCCTGCCTTCACACCTCCGCCCCTCGCCTGGTGCTGAGTGCTGAATATTTGCTTTGGTTGCTCAGTATTTTTTCATCCTCTTTTTTTGCAGAGAAAATGAGCACCTTGTCACTTCTCATTTCCAGGAAGACTTCCCTTCAAATCTGGTACATGCTCCTCCCCTTGTCCTTCTGGCTCCATGGTGGGCAGCCCATCTGCTCCACCTTCTGTTCCTCAGCACCTTCTGGGGCCTTTCAGACTCAGGAAGGGAACAGGAGGAGGGAGAAGGCCCAACACCCTCAGGCAATGTCAGCAGCAGCAGCAGCAAGGACTCTGCAAGCTGCGCTGCAGGATGGGGCAGGAGCCCCACTCCGGAGACCCTCTTGAGAATCACCAATGCGAAGTGGCAGCGATGGAAAATATACTTGAGTCCAATACTCAGAAAGATGAATTTCTTTCATCTTTATTGACCAAAAAAAAAAAAAAAAAAAAAGTCACAGCGTTTCAGACTTTGTTCAGACACATGAACAATAACAAAAGGGTACCCACAAGTGACGTCTATGGTCCCAAAGGTCTGGATCAAAGGCTGTGCTAGAGAGTGTGGGGGGTCCCTTTGGCTCTACTCATCATCTCTGTTGCTTCCACCCCACGTCTTGCTGACACCAAAGAGCAATGACTGCAGAAATGAAGTCACTGCAGAGGAGGCTGGTCCCCCCTCACACCCAACAAAGGGATGAGGCTCCGGTGAAATAACAGAAGTGTCCAGACCTGAGGCAGGGACACTCCCCATCTGGTGGTCCTGGGGACCCAGGGACTGTGGGTAGCACTGGTCATGCAATATTCGTAAACCAATGGGAGGGAGGACAGACCTCCTTCTCCAGGGAGCAGCCAGCAGCCAGACTCCCCAGAGTAGGAGGCCGAGGAGCAGGGACACTGGCGTGAACCTTAGGACTCAGGTAAGATAACTCACAGCAGAGAGTCCCCTCTCACTCCCCAAGGCCATGGTCTAAACAGACCAGGCAGCTGTATTTGGGGCTGGTCCACATTTGCCCTTTCCGGTGGACTTGGGTCAGGAAGAGGCATTCCCTCCAGTGCTCCCCTTGATTTGCATAGTCTTTGGGGTTGTGTGGCTCTCAAAACTTGAACAGAATCATTTGTGGCTCCGTGTTTGCAGCCTCTGGTTGTTTGGGGGAAGAGTTAGGAGTCAAAATTCTGACCCTACATTGTTCCTAGGCCACTGAAAGTATTTTCATAATTGCGTTACAATAACTAAGATAATTTACAATTTTAATATCCAAGTATAAGTCAGTATTCAAACTCCCTACTGTTTATTTCTTTGAATCAATATTCAAATAAAATCTAAAAACTCAAAAAACAAAACTACTTCTAAGAACCCTGAAAAAACCAACCTCCCTCTGACTCCTGGAGCCCAGAGCAGAGGGACCTTCGAAGTGCCCTCTGCCAGGCAGAAGTACACATTTCCCAGTGCACTGGGCTCGGGGCTCAGCAGCAGTGTTTTGGTGGAGGTGGGGGGAGTCCAGGAGGGTAACACTGCATTTGCCAGGCACTTGCCTGGGGCCACCTCCCGCCTCATTCCTTCTCGCTGAACGTGGTGCTAGAACTGGCCCTGCCCAGACCCCTGCTCAGTGCTGAGCATCATGCATGGTCTGGGAAGCAAAGGGACAGGGGCCTATAGGAGTGACTGCGAGGCCCCCAGCGAAGTGCTTCTCCTAGTATGAGGATACTCCATTTGGCCAAAGTCCCTCTTCCAAAGTCCTCTGTCCTACGGTAGGCAGAGCAGTAATTCCTGTTCTCTGCTTTTCTCCGACTATATCTAAATCTTTGTGTGTGTGTGAAAGCCCATGACCCTTTGGGAGGAATGACTGTACTTCCTGTAAGTAGTTCTGTAACGTGTTTCAGCTGTAAAAATATCCCACGTGCCAGGTTTCTGAGGGGCCAACATGTGCACTTACAGTGGTGCCACGTGCAGGCTGCCGGAAGCTGTGCGCACGCTTCTGTGCTAGTCCACAGGCAGAGCAAGGAGGACGCGTGTGAGGGTCCTGAAGACAATGTCCTCAGGAACACCAGCAGGTTATTCGCTCCAAAGGTACCTGGTATAGTGCAGTCTTTCTAGAAATCCCTGCCCTGTGCCCCTGATGAGCAGCCGAGCCACAGAACTCAGCTTTAAGGGTGCCCCGAGTGGGTGCTGGGGCCAAGGCGGCTGTTAGGCAGTACGTTCCCCAGAGGCACCTTTCTGTCTCTCCGTGTGCCGTGTTCCTGGAAGCTGTCTAGGGAAAACGAAGGACGCTGTAGCTCCTCTGCTCTTCATGGCTGCTCACCGAGACACAAACGCTCAGAGGAGAAATTTGGGTACAAGCTCCATGGCACCCTGCTCAGACAAGCACTTGATGTGACATGGTGCTCCCAGGAAAGTCACAGGGGTAGGGTGGGACCAGAGACAATGAAGGCCTAACTGCCTGCCAACACACACTGTAGGGAACACTGCAGAGTCACTCAAGGTGCTGTGGGGCAGGTCTGCTGAGGTCAGAAACCATGGAGAGACACAAATGGTACGTTCACTTGGGCATCTGCGGACCATCACAGAAACAATGCCACTTTTACATTTGGCAACTCGACATATTTGGCAGCTTCCAGAGAAACAGCTGTTCCCACCCCAAGCCACTGGAGGGTCCACAAAGTCCTTTATCTTTGGTCCAGTTAAAAAGCCAGGGAAGCAAAACGGGTCAATGAGGATAAGGCTGCATTTCTGTCTGCCTCAAACCCCTTCCTGGGGACAAAGCAGGCCTCATGACGCCCAGTAAAGTTGCTCATGGGAGCAGCACAGTGTCAGATGAGAGCAGTGCCCACCAATGCCCACCACAGCAAGGGACATCCGTCCTCCCTTGCTGCAGAGGCTCTGTGCACAGTACACATCCTCTGGTAACTCTCCTCGGCTCCAAACTTCAGTCTAACACACAGAAGCGAGAAGCTGCTGCCTCTCAGCACTCCTTGTGGGGGACTAGCAGGAGGGAAGGAGGGGTCAGAAGCAGCTGCCAGCGTCCACCATGGCACCCACAGGTGAGAAGAGGGCAAAGCTCAGGACACTCCTCCTCCTTCCTCTCCAGCTTCCTTGACATCTAGATGTTTCCAAGGACCCACCATCCTTCCCTTCCCGCAGACCTCTAAAAGGCTCCACCTGGGGACCCAGCCCAGCTGCTGTCATCAAATCTGTCAGAATACTGGCTAAGCAAACAAAAGCAAGCTTCTGCAAAGGTGGTCTGCAGCCAGGGCTGCAGCTGTCCTGGGGATCCTGAGGGGCGGGGGGACACGTCCTCGCCAGGGACCAGGCCCAGCTTTGCTTTGCAGTAGCTCAGTGACTGTACAGGCACAAGTCTGCGGCGTTCCCCTGCTGGATCCCTCTTCCATCCTTCAGGATTCTGGGATTTCAGATTCTCAGCTTACATCCGAGAGCCTCTCTCCTGAAGAATCTGAAAGTGGAGGACAAGGGAGAAGCCTCAGACTTCTGTGTGGACTGCTGTGGGGAGGAAAGACCCCCAGGGAATGGGGACACAGCTCAGTGGTGTACAGCACATGCTAAACACACAGAAGACCCTGGTTTTCAACACACCCCCCCAGTCAAATGTGGTGGGACACACAGTGATTCCAGCTCAGTAGAATGAAGCAGGAGAATTGAAAGTCTGAGCTCTGCATGGGAAACTTAGTGACACAGTAAGACTTTGTCTTTAAAGAGAAAAAGGAAAAAAAAAAGGGCTGGGGATATAATTCAGTGCTAAGGACCTAGGTTTAATCCCGAGTACTGGGGGAAAGAAAATATTTAAATCAGAATATATTATCTAATTATAATGGAACTGAGTCAGAAATTAATCACAAAAAAAAAAATGATTAAAAAGTGATGGGGCTGGGGATTTAGCTCAGCGGCATAAGCGCCTGCCTTGAAAGCAGGCAGTCGTGAGTTCGATCCCCGGTACCGATAAAAAGGAAAAAGACAGGAAAAAAAAAAAAGTGATTATAAAAGCCAGGTGGGGTAGTGTATCACTACAATCACAGAACTCGGGAGGCTGGGGTAGGAGGATCATCATGAATTTAAGTCCAGTTTAAGCTACACAATGAGTTCAAAGTGTTCTTGTAATACATAGTGAGACCCTGCCTCAAAACACAAAACAAAATGACAAAATGACTTCAAAAAGCCTTACCTGCTATGGTGACTTTCCGTGAGGCCCAAGCTGGGTTTCTCAGATGCAGTGTGTACTTTGATCTTTGCTCCTACCCTCTTTTTTTCTCTTTACTTGGCCCCACCTCACTCTACAGTTGCTCTCTCACCCTTCATTGTTACTTTCTCTAATCACTATGCCACTACTTTTTGTTTGTTTCCAATTCTTTGTTCAAGACAAGAATCTGGAATCTGGGAGTTTGGGGAATATGGGAGAGTGGTAAGGAGCACAGCAACACCTCTCCAAGACTTCGTGTTCAGACCCTGAAATATGGCAAGATGAGGAAGAGGAGGAGGGAAGAGGGTCCAAGGGACCAGCAGGGATCTGAAGTGAAAATGAAGCCTACAGGGAGAGGAAAGAGAGAGACCCCAACGAAGAAGAAGGGGACAGCCCTGAATCAAGGCATGGAAGGGGCAGCTCAAACCTGCAGATGCATGGTGACTACTGGTGACCCCTGAGGCCTCTATGGGAAAACACGCCAGTGGAACAGAGCAATGGATGCAGTGGCTGGTGAGTTATTCAGATTCAGACACCCCCCAAGAGAGGGTGACTGGCCTATAGCCATCTTAGAGAAGGGCCAACTGGGATAGGAATTCAGAGCAGCTGAGGACTGGGTCTGCCTAGTGGTCCTAGTGTTAATGTGAAATAGAGCTGAGTTCAAGCCAGCAGGGATCTGAGCTCAAGCTGGCTGCAGGGTGAACCATCTGGTGCCAGCCTCACAGCTAGAAACCAGCCTGAACCTCTGTGGAGCTACATGTGCAGGCTCCCTGGGATCAATCAACACAGATCTGGAATCCACCTGTCCACACTGACAGCAGAGACGCCCTGAATGCACGTAGTGCACATGTATTTGTCTTATTTTCTTTTTTTTCTTTGTTTTTATTCTCTTTCTCTCTCTCTTTGTCTGGCTTGTACTTATTTTAATGTGAGTGTGAACATTATTTCTAGTTTTATTGTTGGTCTGTTCTGTTCTTGCTTTTATTCCTTCTCTCTTTTCCTCTTGTGCTCTTGACTAGTTTCCCAAAGTTTGAGTAATCTTTCTTTGTCCTCCAGCCTGGCTGCAGTTTAGGCTGACTTGAAATCACTATGTAGCTGAGGCTGGCCTCAAACTCACAGTGATCCTCCTGCCACAGCCTCCTGAGTGATGAGATCACAGGTGTACAGTAAGACATGTGGTCACCCTTGCTTCCAATCTTTTCATCTTCTTCCTTTTCTCTTTTTTTTTTTTTTCTAAACCCCTTTTAAATTTTCTCCCCTGAGGGTAAAATCACCATGAGGGCATATTTACTGTACACCATTTTCTAGTTCATTTTGGATTTTGTTATATAGCCACAAATCTAGTTCACAAGATTAAAGGTGGGAAATTAATAGTTACCTCAGTTTGTCATTTTCTAGGCTGTGTTTAAGGCTACTGTTATTGCTGATTGCACTGTGTTACCCAAAGGGACATAACTGTTCCAGCCAGTTGTTCGTGGTACACCAAAACTGAGACTGTGTAAGTCATAAAAAAATACCGTATGTTAGTGCCTAAGAATTAGGGGCTGGGCCAAGTAGACAGCAGCTTCTCATTCCCAGTAAATAAAGATGTAGGGTCTTGCAACAGACTCAAAATCCAAAAGACAGCTACATCTGGAAGACATGGTCATTTCCTAAGGGTTCTAAAGACTAACAATAAAGATACTTGCCATAAGCAATTTATAAGCACCAACCTGGAATTAAACTTTAAAGAATTTAGAAAATGAGAAGACACTTAAGCAAGATGCAACCCCAGACTTCCAGCTTACCAAAAGCAAAGCCAAGGGGCAATGAGATGGCCAATCTGAAAGCCACCAACCTGGACTCTCTGAAGTGGTAACACACAAGTAACAAAACTGATGAATGAGGCTCTAGAAAAAATCAAATCAGAAGCAATCTCTCAGATAACTATGTGATCATAATGAAAGACATGGTTAGTGCAGATATAGATACAAAAAATAGAAGAGCTTAGGAAAATGTCAGAAACTATGAATGCTCAATAAAGAAAACAAATGTAATCCATGAGGAGAATCCAACAGACATCCTGGAGATTAAAAATTCCATTAAAAATGTCTGCAGCAGAATGAGCCAATGTGAGGACAGAATCTCAGATACAGAAGACAGGATTGTAGCTAGTAATCATGAAAAGAAAGATTTCTTCAAAACAGCAAGAGATCACAAAAACTCAATCCAATAGCTGCTAGATGAGGCAAAGAAGAATAACATAAAATTGAATGAAGTCAATGAAAAAGCAGGAGACAATGCAAATGACATAAAAAGCCTGTTAACAGAAGTAATGGCAGAAAAAAATCCAAAGGGAAAAAGAATTTGACATACAGATCAGGGAGACATACAAAACTCTAAGATTAGTCATGATCAAAAAAAAATCTACAAGGCATATAGTAGTCAAAACCCCAGAAATTCAACACAAAAACAGAATATTAAAAGCTGAGAGGGAGAGAGAGGAAAGAGAGAGAGAGAGAGAGAAACAAATCACCTATAAAGCAAGGTCCATCAGAATCACACAGACTTCTCAACACAAACCCTCAGGTCAAGGATAGCTTAGAGTGAACTATTTGAAGCCCTAAAAGAAAACCTCCAAACCACACTAATGTATCCTGTGAGACTATCTTTCAAAATTGATGGCGATAAGTAAGATACTTCCATGGCAAAGAATACCTGAAGAAACTCATGACCACTAGTGAAGCACTTTAAAAGGTTCTGAAGAAAATTCTAAAAAGAGATTACAAGGATTACAACTCCATGAACCTCAACAGCATGAATTCACCAGGCAAGGCAAACAAAAACAGAAAGAACCAAATATAACAATAGGAAAATAATATGACAAGGAAAAGTCAATACATATGAATTGTAACCATCAACATAAATGGTCTTGGGGCTGGGGATTTAGCTCAGCGGCATAAGCGCCTGCCTTGCAAGCAGGCAGTCGTGAGTTTGATCCCTGGTACCGATAAAAACGAAAAAGACAAAAAAAACAAAAACAAAAACAAAAACAAATGGTCTCAATTCACTAATCAAAAGAAAAAGACTGGCAGAATGGATCAAGAAGGAAGATCCAACAATATGCTGCATAAAAGAAACACATTTCAGTCAAAACAAAATTCATAGACTGAAAGTCAGTGGATAAAAACAACATTCCATGCAACAGGAACCCAGAAAAACAGCAAGGGTAGCTTTTTTACGTGCAGACCAAGTAGATTTCATGCCAAGATTGATTAAGGGAGACAAAAGAAGGTCATTACATCCTTGTCAAGGAAACAATCCAAGAGGAAGACATAACAATCATAAATAGACATGCACCAAATACTGGTGCACTTAACTATATGACAACTATTAATGGACTATAATGAAAAATCAAATAAGCACTATACAATTTGTTGTAGTCGGGCTGTAAGGAGAAGAAGACAATACAGGACACATAATTTATAGTATTATTTATAATGAACACCCAAGGGCTCAAATACAAAGAAAGTTCTGGAAATCTGTCCACACGCTAAAAACCTAGAGAATCCAAGTGAGGGCCTGGATCCCCACAGCAATAAGCTTTCAGTTCAGCTGAAAACCTAGAGCCCATGATGATGCTTGCCCTAAGTCCAACTGGAAGCCTAGAGACCATGACAATGACTCAAGTCTTTTTCATGGATCTGTGCTGGGAAGGCCAAAGGTCAGCAGTGGAAGTTAGAAAGTCTAGGATGAAGTAGGTTGAGGGTTCTGCACTACAGCCAGAAAGTAACACTCAAAGCCAGGGCTCTCCTGAAAGGTACCACATCCACCCTTAGCAACAATGAGGTCCTGAGCTCCTCTGATGATGAGAACAGCTGATTTTGTATCAGGAAGCCATTCTGACAAGCTTCTCCTGGAGACTGAACAGCATACATTCTCCTCTCTGGAGCCAGAAAGTGATGTGCAACGTAAAGACCAGAGTTCCTCCAAAGCGACCTGTAGTCATTCTCAGAAACAATGTCCTGAGCTCCTCCGATGATAAAAGCTGAGTTCCTATTAGGGAAGCTAGCATGACAAACTCTTCTAGAACCAACAGCTTCAAAGAACCAATAGCTCCAAACAACAACACTTAGGAAAACCTACAATGCTGCTCTTCCTCTCCAGGTCTCCTTTTATGCTGGCAACAGCAGTCCTCAGGTGGGCCATCCACACTCAACACCAAGCTGGTTCAGTTCAGCTGGTGTTTAAGCTGACCATCAGTTTTCAATCCACAACACTATTGTAATGGGGGGCCCTCAAAAACCTAGTGTCATAAATAGATCAACTAGACAAAAAAAAAAAAAAAAAAAAAAAAAATCACAACTGAACCAAACTTTTGAACAAATGTACTTAGTAGATGTCTACAAAGTGCTCCATATTCTTCTCAGCTGCAAATGAGCTCCAAAACAGACCACATACTAGCTCATAGAATATGCTTAAGTAAATGCAAAGGAGGTGACATTACCCATGCATAATTTAAGACCACAGTGTAACGAAATTGGAAACCAATGGCAAAACAAACCACACAAACTTCATAAACCCTGAAAATTAAATAGTACCCTTCTGAATGAACAAAATTAAAGCAGAAAGTAGATAGTTTCAACAATTATAGCACAACATACTTAGGGACACAATGAAGCAGTCTTGCAATGGAAATTGATAGTGATTTACTCCCATATCAGAAAAACATAGCAAGCTCAAATGCCCTAATGTTTAACCTCAAACTTTTAGAAAAAGAAGAGCAAGTCAAGCCCAAAATTTACACAAGGGAGGAAATTTTAAAGATCAGAGCAAAAATTCATGAAATGGAGACTAAGAAAACACAAAGAATCAATGAATCAAAGGGTTGGTTCTTTGAAAGATGAAATGAAGTTGACAAACCCTTATCCAACTTTATAAAAAAAAAAGAGGGAGGACTCAAATCCATGTACTTACTAATAAAAACAGTAAAAGCACAATAGATGCTGGAGAAACCAGAAGATTATCAGTAGCTACTTTTACCAAAACTGAATCAAGAAATATAAAAAATTTGCCAGGTGTGGTGCGAGGTGTGGTAATCCCAGCACTCAGGAGGCAGAGACAGAAGGATAATTGTGAGTTTGAGACCAGCCTGGGCTACAAAGTAAGCTCAAGGCCAGCCTGAACTGCATAGCGAGACCCTGTCTCAAAAAAGACAAAAAAAAGAAATACAAAAATTTTAAATAAAACAATCCCCAATCAGTCACTAAACTGAAGAAGATGTAATTAAATCCCTGCCAAAAAAAGAAAAACCCAGGCCCTGACTGATTCACCACTGAATTGTACAAGAAATTTGGAGAAGACCTAATACCGCCACTTCTAACTTTTTAATGAAATTGAAAAGGAAGCAATACATATTCCCAAATTCATCCTGGAAGCAAGCATTACCCTGATACCAAAACCAGAGAAAAACTCAACCAAAAGAGAGAACTACAGGCCAATCTCCTGACTGAACATGGATACAAAAATCCTCAACAGCATACTAGCAAACAGAACGCAGCAAATCATCACGATTATACAGGGCTGGGGGCTGGGGATTTAGCTCAGCGGCATAAGCACCTGCCTTGCAAGCAGGCGGTCGTGAGTTCGATCCCCGGTACCGATAAAAAAGAAACAGACCAAAAAAAAGATTATACAGGGCCAAGGATGTAGCTCAGCGGTACAGTGGTCATCTAGCAAATGTGAGGACTTGATTCCCAGAACCAAAATAAAAATAGATAAATAAATAAATACATAAGAAGACTATACACTATGACCAAGCAGCATTCATTTCAGGGATGCAGGGGTAGTTCAACATATGCAAATCAGTAAACACAATATACAATATTAACAGAGCCAAGGGCAAAAAATCACATAAATCATCTCAACAGATGCAGAAAAAGCATCTGATAAAGTCCAACACTCATTCATGATAAAAACCCTACAGAAAATTTAGAATAGATGGTCTATATCTCAATCTGATAAAAGTGATCTATGACAGACCAGTAACCAACATCCTACTAAATGGTCAAACTCTGAAAGCTTTCACTCTAAAATCAAGAACAAGACAAGGATGTCCACCATCACCACTCTTATTCAATATAGTTCTGGAAACATTAGCCAGCATAGTTAGACAAGAGAAACAAAGAAAAGAAAAAAACAACAGGAAAGGAAGAAATGAGTATCTGCAGGTGACGTGATACTCTACACAGAAGACCCCAAAAACCCCACCAAAAGATTTTTCGATTTAATAACTAAATTCAGTAGCGTAGCTGGATACAAAGTCAACACTCAAAAAAAATCTAATGAAGGAAGTAAAAGACCTCTACATTGAAAACTACAGTCCTCTAAAAAAGGAGATTGAAGAAGCTATCAGAAAATGGAAAGATATCCACTGTTCTTGGGTGAAAAGAACCAATATAATGAAAATGGACATACTTCCAAAATTGTTGAGGTCAGGTTATTTAGCTCAGTGGTACAATGCCTCTTGCCAAGCATAAGGTCCTAAGTTCAATTCCTGGTACCCAAAACAAAACAAACAAAAAAACCAAAGAAAAAAACCCAAAATTACTGAAGAGATTTAATGCAATCTGGATAAAAATTCCAACAGCATATCTCACAGAATTAGAGAAAAAAATCCTAAATTTCACTTGGAACCAGAAGAGACCTACACTATCAAAGGCAATTCTGAGTAGCAAAGGCAAGGCAGGGGTATTACAGTCTCTGACCTGAAATTATACTATGAAGCTACTGTGATAAAAACAGCATAGTACTGGCCAAAAAACAGAACTGAGGATCAATGGAATAGATTAGAATACAGAAATAATCCCAAGCGTACTATGCTACCTTATCTTCCTAAAGGAAATGCTTTAAGCTCACCACACACTGATAGTTCAGAGGTGAGTATGTTGAACATGCATGTGGGTGTGTGTTTGGAGCACTCAATGGAGGAAAAGGAGGTAACAGTGCATGGGGGTAGGAGATACTGGAGATGGGACCCAGGGCCACACACATGCTAGGCAAGTGCTGTACCACTGAGTTACATTCTCAGCTCACCTTCTTTTACTGACTTAACAGAGGGTGGAAAAGTCACCTTTTTCACATTCACATTTTTCAACCAAACAAGCTGTCACTGTTCCCTAAATCTTGATTTAAATTCAGCAGTAAAAACATGCAAGGTGGAGGGGCTGGGGATTTAGCTCAGCAGTGAAAGCGCCTGTCTGGCAAGCACAAGGCTGTGAGTTCAATCCCCAGTACAAAAAAAACCATGCAAGGTGGGGAAACACAAAGCTGGATGCAGAGAGAGGAGAAGATGAGTACCAGTTAGGGCAAAGCTGCAGGGGCCTGGATATAACTGAGCCAGACGTGCAACCAGTCAAGCAATTTCTTTTCTTTTCTTTTTTTCCCCTGTATTTCTTTTTTTCCTTTTTTTTTTTTTTTTTTTTTTTTTTAAATTTTCTGAGTCAAGATCTTGCTACATTGCCCAGGCTGGTCTTGAACCCACAGTGCGCCTTCTGCCACAGGCTCCCAAGTGCTGGGACTACAGGTATACACTACATGCCTGGCCAAAGTATCTTCTTACCTTTGCCTTTTCACTTGGCTCTATGACAATGCCGTTGGTAGAATTATTTAATTCTCTGGAGACGACGCAGAGAAATTCGGCCTGGTCCTCATTTCCATAGTTATATGAGGATCCAATGCTGATTAGCTGGCAAAAGAAGAAGACAGTAATCACACAAGTAGCAATCTCTAAATCTCAAGTGCCACACAAATCACATCTTCTCAAAGGATGAAGAATTCTCTGGGACTATCCAGGTCCTGGGGAACAGATGGATCTCAGTTACCCATCAGGACACTGTCAGTGAGGTTCCCCCAAGAGTCCTGCCACCGTTGTCTCCCCCAAGCCCTTGTCCAATCACTCTCTCACTGTTAAAGATGTGCACTGCAAAGTGTCTCTGCACATGAAGACACACTTGCTCCAACCAAACACAGTGCTGGGTCATCTGTGAGCAGGGCTCCTAGACAGGAGACCATTACTCTGAAGGACCTGGAGTGCCCCAAGAAAAGCACTGGATAGCTTTCTTTCTTTCTTTATTTTTTTTTGTGCCACAGATTGAACTCACGACCTCATGTTTGCCAAGCAGGCACTTTCGCTGCTGAGCTAAACCCCCAGCTAAGCACTGGATAGCTTTCAAAAGCTGTCGCTGCTGGCACTTTTTCTCCATTTTGGAGAACTGTGCTCAGTACTCATTCTTAACAGAAAGAAAAGCTGAGCGGGGGTGAGGCTGTCCTCACAAACAACGAGGCCCCAAGCTGGGAGACTGCTGCCGGCTGCCTGCACAGGGGGCCCCTCAGCCTCCTGCACCCAAGTTTCTCATCGGTACCACAGAGGCACTGAGATCAGACTTCGGCCTTCCACAGGACATCAGCAAGATGACAAGCAACAAAAGAAATAACCCATTGGTTTTACAAAGAATACACATTTGTTTTTAAATAAGTAATACCCTTTGCTTAAGACTCCATCAGAGAAGAATCCTCCTCGGGTAGAGGACAACAAACTCTGGGCATATTCTGCTGCCCACATGTGAAGAGAACCAGGCTGCCACATAGGCAGGACCAATTCTGTAGTGGAAGACAAGTGTGAGGCATGATCCCGCATTGGCTCTAGCACAGCGTTAACTGGGATGTGTCAGCTGACCCAGGAATATACACCGTAACTTCACTTTAGGAAGCAGGCTTCCCCTGCTGGCTCAGCTGGCCTCTCCAAGTGTATGTAAGAATATATCACACTCCACATAACACCAGGTGTCCTCTGTTTACCCCTAGCCTTCCTATGGGCTAACAGCAATAAAGAATTGAACAATTTTGTTATCACAGAGAAGAAAGCAATCAAACTGGGACTCTGGGTCCCAGTCTGATTTGATCTAAAGTTTAAGCACAAGACTAAAAGAACAGAAACGAAGAGAAGGATGAGGGATGAGCAACCATACTTTTCACCTCATCTGATTCCTTCATAGTATATCCAGTCACAGGCGGTTACAGCAGATTATGTGGACTCTCAGAATTATTAAATTCTGACCTTGTAGGGCTGCATGTTGAACCCCAGTCATTTTTAGGGCCACACCGTAGAACATGTCAATAGAACACTTTTGGAAATCAAAGAGAGGCTCCTCAAGCCTAGACATGCTGGCCAGCTCCTCGGGCACCACTGCATTGTAACAGTGGACTGGAGGCTAGGAGATAGGGTTCTCCTTCCAACTCTCCCCAACTCAGCGCATACCAAGCAAGTATTGGCACCGAGCAGCTCTCTTTCCCCATGATTTGGAAATGGCTCACACCTGGCTCCCCTACCCGCCTTCCAGGGCTACTAACTGGCTGGCTGGAGACTGTTCAAGGAGCTGTGGCGGCCCTGGGATGAGGCTCTGGGTTCTTCGCTCTGAGAAACTAACCTGTTCAAACTTCCAGCCGTCAGACATGGTAGAGACCATCTGCGTGAGCTCTTCCTCTTGACACTGCAGGACTCTGTACACGTGCTTCACGGGGCCCTGCAACAACCAAAGTGACTGAGAAGGGCAGCAGGAAGGTGGCCGCAGTGCACCGGCTTTGGGGCTCCGCCACCCCCACCACCTTACTCATAAGCAGCACTAAGGCTTCCCAGAAACACTACCCAAGGGGGCCAAGCGTGGGGGTACACCTGTAATCCCAGCCCCCAAGAGGCTGAGTGAGGCAGGAGGACTCCCAAGAGTTCGAGGTCAGCACTGAGCTACATAATGTGTTCAAGGCTGGCCTGAACTACATAATGAGACCCTCTCTCAAAAGGAAAAAAGTTTCAAGAGAACAAACAAAACAACAAAAAGAAAAAACAACCCAAAAGGCAGAAGAATGTGAATTAGTGGATAAAATAATTCTCAGTGTCAGAGGATAAATCATGTGAGCAACCATGTAACAAACCAGATTATTTCATCCATTTCTTCAATTACTTTGCAGAAAAAGTCCCATTTTTTTCCTAAAGTGATTTATATGTGATGTATATGCTAAAAATGTATGCCCCCTTTGGATTATTTAGTCTGGTAGAAATGATTACAGGAACACTATATTAATAATATATTAATATATTAAGCTACAATCCCATAATGTTCAAGTTATTTTTATCCTTTCTGATGTTACCTGCCAAATGTTTTAGCATTAAACAGGGGCATTTCTGTATTATACATGTCTATAATAAAAAGTAAATATTTGGTTTTTGTCTGCATTCCCAGCCAGGCATGGTAGTGCACACTTGTAATCCCAGGACTTGGGAGGCTGAGACAGGAGGATTACCATGAGTTCAGTGCCAGCCTGGACTACATGGTGAGTTTAAGGCCAACCTGAATTTTTTTTTGAGATCTTGTCTCAAAAAAAAGAGAGTGCTAGTAGGTAAGAGCCCATGACAACACAGCTGGATTAAGAACCCCACATCTGGGCTTTGCTTGTTAAAGGAGACAACATCTAGAAATCTACATGTAGCCAACTGTATCTCAGAACCATGTGGAACAAAGGCAAAAATACGTCCTCTTTCCTTTTGGTTTGGTGTTTTGAGACAGGCTTTTGCTATACAGTTGACCTTGATGCATTTCATGGAGTTCCATAATAAGAGACAGATGGAAAGATCAATGAACATAAAAAAGGTCTTGACATTCCTAGAACAAAAAGCCTCCAACTGGGTATAACTCCACAAGCCTTCAGAATCTGGAGAACTCATTAACTGCAGTCACTGAATAGAAATATTATACTGCTCTCAAGGAATCAGCTGATGGCAAAGAACAGAAAATGTTCAGGTACCATGATTTGAATGGTTTTAAATTACATAACTCATGGTACCATCAAAATCTCTACCATGCTATCAAGGTTTTTTAGAAAGTGGAAAAATCAGTCCTTGGGAGGCTAAGGTGAGAGGGCTGTTTCAAGTTCGAGACCAGTCTGGCTACAAAGTGAGCTCATAACCTACAAATCCCTCCGAAGATTAAGAAGGAGCCTTCCACCAGTCAGCCAGAATACGTCCTCTTTCCTTTCAGTTTGGTGTTTTGAAACAGGCTTTTGCTATACGGTTCAGGCTGACCTGGAACCAGCAATGCCAAATAATAAACCCTCCTTCCACCCTTGAAAGAAGCTAATGCTAGGAAAAAAAAAAAAAAAAAAAGAGTCTAAAGGATTCATTTTTTGCGGTGTCAGTTTTTCACCCACATATTCCAATCCAAGCCAAAACACATTGATACATGAAGATTAACAGAGAAAGAGAAAGACACTTCTAAAGAAAAATTATTGCTGTCTTTTTAACAGAAAGAAAATCCTGTGCTTCAGCAAAGTAAAGAAAGCATCCACCACCAGAACCTGATGGCAGAAGAGGCAACTGTGCCTCAAGACAGATGACCACAGAGGAGTACAGCTCTGCCCTCAGTTAATGCAGCTCTGAAGCTTTTGTTTTGTTTTCATACCAGGCACTGAACCCAGGGCTTTGACACTGAGCCACATCCCCAGCCTACCTCCCACTTTTTTTGAGACAGACTTAATTAAATTGCTAAATTGCCTATGCTGAACTTGAACTTTGGATCTTCCTGTGTTAGCCTTCTGGAGTGCTGGGATGACAGGCATGGGCCACTCTGACTGGACAGAAGTTGTTCTTTCTTAAAACACAGGAAAGGAAGGTCTTTTTTTCTGCTAGACTTTAAGGATTTTGGGGGAAAGGACATTTTCCTGTTACTCAGAGAATCACAAGGGCTTAAGGACAGTGACCACTCAAACACATGATGAATAATATGTCAAACAAGCTAAGTAAGCTCTATCATCCTCCTTCCCTTAAACAGGTTAATAACGAAATCCAGACACTATAATAAAAAAGAGAAGCTTGATATAGCCCTCTCAGGAGCACGATTCATAACTGGTTTCAAATAGCTCTCAGGAGCCAGTTGTGACAAGATCATGTTAAGGGGCCGACCTGATAAAGGGCACTGAACAGGTACAAGTGAGATCTCATTTGAGCTCCATGAGGAGGGAGGCTGACTCTGGGTCAGAAAGGAACAGGCTTTGGCTCTGAGAATGGCCTTGACTCCTCCCACTGCCACACAGTGAGCAATAACCAGCTCCTTCTTCTGACAATATGGGACTGTTCTGTTTTGCTATTTCTCTCTCTCCCTTTCTTCCTTCTGAATGACTGTGGCTGGGTGTGGACATCTGCACAGTGGAGTTGTTCCGTCCAGACCTCCCATCCTGCCCAGACCTCCCTTCCCGCAGGGAAAGGCACCCTTTTCAAATTGTACCTGTCATGTGGTCCCCCCTTAAGAGTTCAAAACACCTTACTTGTGAAGTTCTGTTCTCATTGTCTCGTATCCTCTCCTTAACCAGGCGCACGAGAGAGGCGATATTGTAAAACTCTGCTTCTTCCAGAACGCCTACGACAAGGACCAGACTGTAGTCAGAGATGAGCTCACCAGATAAACAACAAAAGGAGGCTTACTAAACATTGCATTTTCCAAGTACAAATCTAGCCTAGGGAATTTAGGAAACAGCTCTTTGCTGCTTAGGGTGCACCAAGGACCTTTCCCCCACAAGTATGAGTCAAGCCCTAGACCTGCTCTGCTCACTGTTCAACTCCACCTACTCCCTCACCAACTGCCCGTCAGCGGCAGGATGCTTCCTCATGTGTCACCTAACTCTGAACTACTACATACCTCCTCTTCCCCAGTTTGCCTGAAAAAGGACTGGTGGATAGGTGTGTATGTATAAATTCACATGGATCAAATGTAATAGGATGTTTATTATATGAAGAACATAAAAGGCAATCATTGCCAGATTCTCATGCTAAACAAAATCAATGGCCTTAGGACAATGTGGCATGCATGGTCCTATGCCAGGAAAAAATTTTGCTAAAATGGCCATTATTAGAACAATTGAGCCAGGCACGGTGGGGCATGCCTGTAATCCTAGCATCAGGTGGCTGAGGCAGGAAGATTGCTAAGAATTCAAGGCCAGCCTGGATTACATAGTGAGTTCAAGGCCAGTTTTGACTACATAGCAAGACCTTGTATCAAAAAAAAAAAAAAAAAAAAAAAAAATTCAACTGACAAGATTATAATATAAGCTACAGATAAAAATATCTAACAGTATTAAATCCCCTGACTTCGATGGTAGAGTAATATAAGAATACCCCTTTCTTGGGAAAGACACAAAAATATTAAAGGGTGCAGTCTGCAACCTAGCCTCAAACTGTTCAGCTATAGAAACTATAGGGGGAGGAAGCCAAAATAGGAGGAAGAAAGGATGAGAGAGGAAAGAGGAGGGAGCGAAGAAGGAGGGACAACGAATGGTAACATAAATATGACCAAAAGTTAAAAGTGGTGAATCCATAGAGTTTTTACCTTACCTTTTCTATAGTTTACCCGTATAGAAAAGGGTAAGGATAAAACTTACCCTTTTCTATAAGGCCAGAAGTATTTTAAAGTAGTGTTTCCTAACAAAAAACATCAGAACAGGCTTGTAATTGCTGAAGCTGTTTGGAGGGTACACGGAGCTTGTATCACTCTCACTTTTTTCTGTGAATTTAACATGTTTTAAAGCAAGATTTTTAAAAAAGTGTTTCCCAAATGTCCTCCACCTCTGTTTAAAAAAAAAGAGAGCAAGAGAGTGACAGTGAGCACAATTACTCCTTTTATTGATTAGAAGAGGACTGGTTGCACAGCCACTGCCAGCTTTCTTTCTCAGAACTAAGGCAGCCAGATGAAGGCACCCAGATTTAGGGAAGATCCCCAATCTCCCCCTGAACGCCTCCAGTGAGACCAAGCCAAGCCTTTCTGAAAGAGGACTGCTTAAATCCAAATGCCCTACAAACCGAGATGAGACAACCAACAATACACCTGACAATAAGTTGGAGAATGAATTAGGTCAGCAGGAAAAATTACAGGGAACCATGAGACCAGAGTCTTAAAAAGAAACGTGGCCAATTCTGTAGCATTTACTTTTTCACAGCTGCGAGTTCAGACTATAACTGCAAACATAAATAACTCAACATTAGAGATGTGCTGCTTCAGACTATAGACATTCACTGCTAGCATACAAATAAATGTTAAAAAAAAAAAAAAAAAAAAAAAAAGACAATTCTGCAGGTCAGAAAAAACTCCTAAAGCTATTTGCGAAGCTAAGCCACCTACTTTCCTTCTCACTAAGAAAGCTGAGTAGAGGCTATTGGGGCTTTCTTCAACCTCGCTCTCTCAGACAAGACTAGGTACCTGGAGGCTTCCTGTTCATTTTCATTAACTGTACTATGCCAGAACACCCACCGGCCCAGCAAAAATCTCCAAACTCAAGTCCATGGAAGAGCTTTAAGCAATGTGAAATTTGAAACGTCCAGTGCTGTTACCTTCTTCTGCCAACTCCTTAGTAATGATGAGTTTCCCATGGCGGAGGTAGTTTAGGATAGGACCAAAGTAGGTAGGGTCTCTGTCAATCAGATAGGCTCCCGTCTCATCCTGCCAACCAAGCACAAGAGTATCATTACAAAGTACTCGGGCATGTTTAAACTGAAACGGTTTCCCCTTTTGCAGCAGTTTGTGAGCTACAAAAATTTTAGAGAGGACAAATTTTGCTAGACATTTGCTTACTGAAAATTTCTGGCAAGAAGGCTAGCCCTAAATGCCTTCACTTTGGATCATCTCAGGTTGCCATCCAGATGCACAGGCGTGCCTATCCTCTAGGCAGTTATTCACTGGCTTGAACTTTGCCTGGCCAATTGCCAGCATTCTTCTGTGGGGCAGTGGTTACAAGGGAGGGAGTAAAAGAAAGAGCTATAGATTCATGATTTAAATTCTTACTTGAAATGCACATTCTGACTCTGCCATCACCCCTGAGTGACATTCCTAATTCTAAAACCTCTATTTGGCTGGCGATGCTCCTGAGCTCAAGGCCAGCATTAGTGTGAGTCCACACTGCCAGCTGGAATCTCACATTCCCCAGCTCGGTGCCCAGAGGAAGTGTGGTACTGCCAGGACTTCGCTCTGAACAGCTTTAATCCTACTCATTCTACAATAAAAGGAACAGGAAGAAACTGGCTTATGTGGTCATAAGGAAGATTTAGGGTATGTAAAAATAACTCCTTATAAGCAAGCATTTTGGCATCGCTTTGACGTTAAGGAAGCTTTCCATCAATTTGAGTTTAGTAGTGAACAGCTGAAATCAACATATGTTTATACAACTCCCACTCTGTTGCAGTGTAACCAGTTGAGTGCTCTATGGGACACAAGATGGTACAAGCTATGGTCAGAGGAACCTTCACGAATTAAAAAAAAATTCAGTTTCAAACTGCAAAAAGTGTCTTCTCACCTCTTAACTCGACACTTGGCAACCTTGTATCTTGCCCAATAGCACTCTTGGTCTCTACTTTTCTTTAGTCTTAACTGCTAAGCTTAGATTTGCACTAGCAAATACAACTTTTTTCCAGGGAATGTATTCGATCTCAAATACGGACCTAAACGTTGACTATTATCAGATATCAGTCTGGGGCCAGGATTTTAAGAAAGCGGTGACATCGCAATTAACATTCTCTGCAGTGGTAGAAGCCATCGTCAGGCCTGGATGCACCCAATTCGGCACAGGACTCCTATAGTAAGTTTCAGGAAGCTACAAAGATGCCGTGCGATGAGAGGGGCAGAGAATATGGGAGACGCAAGGAGTGAGTTTTAATGGGATGAGGGGGCGGGATGTGAGGAAGGAGCCCCTGAGAACGCAGGGCTAGGTCAGAAGGAAACCCGGGGAGTGCCTGAGGATGAGCAGAATGGGGAGAAGGGCTTTCTGATCCTCCCGGTGCCAGCGTGGAGACCTGAGGGGATGTGGTTCCAGTCTGAGGAATTGCATTTGCCCGAAGGAGAGAGTCCCAGGACTCGGGGGATGGGCCTAGGAGGAACTAGGGGATCCAAAGGCCCGAGGGCGGGGCGCACCTTGTCTGAGTCCAGCTCTGGGTCCTCCTGGCAGCAGAGGCGGCAGAGGAAAGACTTGGGCTCCCGGCCTAAGGTCTGCCTGGTAGTCACGAAGTAGGTGCCGCCCACATTCAGCCGGACCCAGCGAGCCGCGCCACCGACCCCCGCCCTCTCGGGCGGTCCGGGACCGGGTTCCAATGGCTGCGCGACAGCGGCGGGCTGGCGGCCGTGCCCCCGGGGTGTTGGGCCAGCTGGGCGAGGACTGGGGGGCCCGCGACCTGGCCCGCCCCCGTCGCCCACCCCACTGCCTCCACCCGCTCCCAGCCCCGCCATCGCTGGGTCCAGCTGCAGCTCCGCCATCTAGGGCCGCCGCCGTCCCTCCCGCCCGCGCATCGCCGGGCCAGCCCATTCCTCTGCGGGGAGAGCTGGGCCGTCCCATAGGCGGGGGTGGGGCGGGAAGGGTGGGGTGTCCCCTCAACCCGCCGGTGTCTCAGTGCGCAGGCGCTGTTGCTACCTTTGGAGGCGGGACTTCCGGAACAAGTCTCCGTCGGTATTGGCTAATCTGTGAAGCCATGCTCGATTTTTGAGCTTTGCGATTGGTTGAGGGGAGACCTTCCGGTGACCCACTTCCGTTACTTTCTGCGGGGATTGAACCTTACTGGGTCGGTGAAGGTGAGTAGGTTTGAGAGCTTTGAGTCCGAGCCCAGAGCAGTTTCTTGCTTTGCGTCTTGCAGATCTTGCACCGACCTTTGCTGCGCCCCCACCAAGGACGGCAGACTCGGGGTGTTCGCTGGCAGAGAGGTAGAGCTGTGTTTTTACGTCGCACACCGTTTCTAACCGCTCCTGGGCGTGCGAAGTCGCGGGGCCTGGTTGTGACCCAGCCGCGACAGTTTTAGGGGCTGCCACAAACTATTTCAGTCCGCTCCCAGCGCGGGAGAACATGACACAATCATACTGTCAACTTGCTGAGGGACTGCGTCCTCTTCTGGCTAGAAGCTCGCAGAGTTCCAGCGTGTGCAGTGTTTAGGGGTTAAGTGCGGGGCTGTTTCCCCGCTGAACTGATATTAATCGAGCACGTCTGCTATGTGCCTGACCTGTTCTAGGCTCTAGGGATTAAACAATAAATAAACAAAAAACCTTTAAGACTTCCGATGATTGGAAAAGTGTCTGTAAGGGCGCTTAGTTCCCTGGCATCTTTAAAAGTGAACTGCTTTAACCTTGCCCCTCCCCCACCGGAGACAACCAGTGCTGAGACGGAAAGGAAGGAAAGAACAGGTGTTTGGTACCTTCCTTCTTAAAGTCCAGAGGAAGATTTTGTTTTCCCTTGGAATCCACAGCTTATAGAGATCTTTGACTTTGCCTTTTCTAATATCTTGTCTCTGATCTTACTTAGTTTCAGTTGACTTGAAACTAACAAACTACTTCTGGTAGTTTGTCTTGGTTTAAAGTCTACAGCCACTCTCGTCTTCTCACGTTCACAGCTGTGTTCATTACCACTTAAAATGCCAGGGCAAATGCTGTTAGAGATAATCAGACATGAGTAAGAAGGTTCAGGTGTGTGACCAGTCTGGTAGAGAACAGACAGCCTCTTAGATTTGTATAAAACTATACTGTAAGTGGATATACACAATTTCATTTTCATCTGATAATTTCAGTGGTCTTCTGAGCTAAGCTGAGTTGATACTCAGTTTATAGATGAGAAAATTTCCACAGCGTGCTCTATTTAAATCTTGTTGAAATTTCAATACGTGTCATGTTCTGTATTCCTAGAGAATCTGTGAATAAAACAGTCCAGATAGATATTTCCAAAGACATGGAGAAAAAAAAGTAGAGAGCTGGACTTTTGAGTTGGGGGATACAGGGAGGGCAATCTAGTGGGAAAGAATATGCTGTATTTGTATTTCAGGTTTCACAGCTTGAATTTGAAAAAGGTAAATTGTTCTCCTTTCCTGATTTAGTAGTTTGTCTATGGGATAGGTAGACCTCCCAACTGCAGCTACTCAAAGGGTGCTGATCTATTTCTTTTTTGTTGTTGTTTTGTTTTGTTTTTGTTTTGAGACAGGGTCTCACTGTGTAGTTCAAGATGGCTTTGAATTCACTGTGTAGCCCAGGTTGGCCTTTCGAACTTCCAATGATCCTCTGTCCTCTGCCTCCCAAGTGCTAGGATTACAGGCGTGTACCACCACACCTGGTGTGATCTCTTTTTTAAAGACTTGTATATTGTTAAATGCCTTTCTTCAGGTGATGCTCCAAGAGCACTGTTTTGATTTGATTTATTTTCCAGGATCCCAAGATGGCTGGGCGCAAGCTCACTCTAAAAGCCATTGACTGGGTAGCTTTTGGACAGATCATACCCGCAAACCAAAAGGCTGTGGCTAATTCTCTGAAGTCTTGGAATGAGTCCCTCAGCTCCAGGTCAGTATGGTTCTGAGAGGGGACCCTAAGTTTAGCACTGAATCTGGGGCCAATGTTTTACCATTACATACAAATTTCTGATAATCTTCTGACAAAAATAAATACACTCATTTTCCAAATAAAAGTTTGTAGTTGGTTTTTTGCATTTTCATGATGGTGCTACAGAAAAAATGCACGAAGACACTCCAGGCCATAGGAATAAAGAATAAGGAAATTTCTGTGTGAATTTTCTCATGTTCAAAGAACGGTCCTAACTTCTGCTTTTCTCTGTGAACAGGTTGGCTGCTCTGTCTGAGAAACCACCAGCGATCGACTGGGCCTACTACAAGGCCAATGTGGCCAAGGCAGGCTTGGTGGATGAGTTTGAAAAGAAGGTAAAAAGATAGCTAAAGCATTGGTCTAATAGTGTGTCAGGAGGTGAGTAATTACATATTCCAGTCGACAGCCAAGGAAGAAGGGAGTGTTAACCTTTACACATCCCAACGGAAGTTTAGGGGAGATGTGGTCGGAGGCCTTGCAGTGGTAGGTTTTAATGGTGACGAGATACAGATAGTTCAAGGTGTCATCATGCAACAGTACTCTATGTCCTTGCTCTGCTCGTGGGAGGACTTTCAGATTAAAAGTTCCTGCCCAGCTCTCTCTTAGTTCCTTTTTAGCCTCCCACATCTCTGTCTGGTATCAGCTAACAGCTTTTCTGTTCTTACTGTTTTCCTTTCTCTACTCTTTTCTTTCCTGTCCCTTACAGCTGTAATTTCTTATTTATCCCCCTTCGGTACACATTAAGTCTCCATATCAAAGACTGATTTGCCTATTCATTGCCTGTGGAGGGTGTACTTTGTGCCATTCAGTGTTCATGAAGAAAATCAGAATTTCTTTACAATTCTTTAGAATATGAGATGCTAAGCCCACATGTTTTTTGTTTTTGTGGGGATTTTTGTTTTGTTTTTTGTTTTAGAAGAGGTAGTGTTTCCAGGTGGGGAAACAGAAGCTCACTGTAATAAACAATTACTCTCTTTTTTTTTTTTGTCTTTTTCCTTTTTATTGGTACTGGGGATCGAACTCACGACTGCCTGCTTGCAAGGCAGGTGCTTATGCCGCTGAGCTAAATCCCCAGCCCCTCCTGGGTGTATTGCTAACAGCTTGCTTGTCTGTTTACAGTTTAATGCCCTGAAAGTTCCTGTGCCAGAGGATAAATATACTGCCCTGGTGGATGCTGAAGAAAAGGAAGATGTAAGTAGTTGATGCTCCTTTATAAAAAGTTACTTTTGTTTGCTTTTATTAGTACATGTTTATAGTATGTAATGATTGCATTCATCATGGTAAGTTGGTGTGTCTGTAATGCATCTTAATTCTTTTTTGCTTCCCTTCTCATCCTCTCCCTCCCCTCCCCCACCATCTCTAGATCAAATGATGCTCCTAAATATTTGAAACCTTTGGTTTTTGAGATAGGGTCTTATTAGGTAGTTCAGGCTGGCCTTGTATTCACTGTGTAGTCCAGGCTGGCCTCAAACTCACGGTGATCCACTTGCCTCAGCCTCCCAAGTACAGGGATTACAAGCATGCACCATAAAATTTTTCTTAATAGTGATGGTTCTATATTTCTGAGCAGCTAGGATAAAGTAAAGTGAATTAATTTGCAAGTTAAGGAGTTTACAGTAATGAAAGGAATCAACTGGTAATCCAAGCTTATGTTGAATATAAAAAGTCAGCGGGAACAGTGTGTAGCACATGCCTGCACTTACATAAATCTCTAGAGACTGCAGCTGCTCGGCAGTGCAGTGGTTGCCTGGGGAGGGCAGTGAGAGGAGTGACACGTGTCCACTACTTTATTTTTTTATTTTATTTTATTTTTTGTCTTTTTCCTTTTTATCGGTACCGGGGATCGAACTCACAACTGCCTGCTTGCAAGGCAGGCGCTTATGCCGCTGAGCTAGATCCCCAGACCCGATGTCCACTACTTTGAAGATGGTCCTGGTTTCACGGGTGAACATATGCATCAAATGGCACTTGCGGTGTCATATGGTGGTTACATTGCAACAAAACTGTTAAAAGCAAGGAATTGGAATTAGGTAGAAACATTACCCAGGGTGTATTCAGATACTTACTTGGTTAAAAGCACTGAAGGCCAAATGTTGGAACCCAGCTGGTTTCACCAAAGAGATGTCTGGCTTGGTGGTTACGGGGCTTGTCCTGACCATTCAGTCAGCAGCCCTATAGACAGGGTGTCCCTAAGCTATTTTCCTGCCCGGATGTCTTTGTGGGTGACAGGAAAAGCTGTGATTTGCCTCCTAAAGTTCCTCCGTAGTCAGGGCAGCAGGGAAGCCAGGGCAGGCTGGAGACTCCTCATGTCTTAGGAGCCCCGGAGTCTGGGCATAACTTGGTTTCAGAGCAAAATTTTTCTCATCTTTTAAAGGTGAAAAGTTGTGCTGAGTTCGTGTCTCTCTCAAAGGCCCGGATTGTCGAATATGAGAAACAGGTAAGGATGCCTGGTGGTGCTGCTGGTTACTGTCTCCTCCACGGCCATACTTCTCTCCTCTGGCAGTCAACTGCCTTGGACTCTCATTTTACATCTCCACGGCACTGTTTCCCTTTACTAATATATTTCTGCCCTTTCCAGCTGGAGAAGATGAACAACATCATCCCATTTGATCAGATGACCATTGAGGATTTGAATGAAGTCTTCCCAGAAACCAAATTAGATAAGAAGAAGTATCCCTATTGGCCTCATCAGCCAATTGAGAACTTATGAAATTGAATCGTGGAGAGAGCTCTGGCCCTTACATGACAAATTCTGGATGTTAAGAATTAAAAAGGTATAATTCTGGGTATGTGATCTCTCTGCTTAATACAGTTAAACCTTCCCTCTGAGGTGGCCTCACTGGAAGTGGACATTTTGTTAAGGTGGGAAGTTCCTAAAGGGTTGTGTCGGCCCAGTTCTCTAGAAGTTAGGATGTGTATGAGGCCCCAGGGCTGCTCAGTTTAAACCAAGAACAGTAGGGCCTATGCCAGTGTACTCTCCTGGGATATGGGAAAGGAGGATTATTATCTGCCAAGGCTCTTGAGCTTCCTCTTATTTCAGACCACTGTGCCAAAGAAGTGTTCCCTTCTCGACCTGTAGTTGGAAATGCTGTCCAGATTGGCAGCTCTGAGAGCAAGGCCTGGGTTTTGGTTTTTGGTTTTTTGAAGCAGGATCTTGCTATGTGGTGCAGGCTGGCCTTGACCTCACTGTGTACCCAGGCTGGCCTGAAACTAGCAGCAATCCTCTTGCCTCAGCTTCCCAAATGTTGGGGGTTATACATGTGAACCACCATGCCCAGTGGCTTGGCTTTTCGGTACTGTAGCTTTTAAAGCACAAAAAAGAATAGAGAGGAAACTGTCACAAAGTTAACTGTTGCTGTTTTTTTATATCCGAAACTTAGAAAGCAATTTTAACTCCAGCATTTAATTTTAACATTCCAGTTAGAAGCTGGGCACTGTGGCACTCCAGCTACTAAAGAGGCTGATGCAGGAGGATCCCTTGAGCTCAAGTTCGTGACCAGTGTAGGCAACATAGTGAGACCTGTCTCGAGAAAATTTAGAAAATAAAAACAGATAACGTGGTGTGAAAAGTTGCCCTTGGAACTCAGAAGATCTAATATGCCAAGCACATAATTGCTGATTTTTAAGTTGTTTACTGTTTTAGGACTTTATTTTTTTCATTTTAAAAACATTACGATTGCAACCTGGGAAGTTTCTAGATATTTAAGCAAAACCATCTGACTTAGTCTGGCTTACATCCTGTAGGAAGGTAGCACACACAGGTCAAAAACTGGCCCTGCATGCTGGCTAGAGGCTGAGGCAGGTGTATTTCTATTAGTTCAAGGTCAGCCTGAACTACATAGCAAGACCCTGTCTCAGCAAATCCAAAGTCAAACCTAGTGTTTCTGCAGGTACTACAGACAGACTATTGGAGAAGTGCAGCCTGCCAGGTCAGGGCTGTGCTAATGTGAGCAATCAGATGGCCGTCCTTCCTGGTTTAGGTGGAAAGAGCTGAAGATGGGAGTAGTAAGGCGGGGCTGCTGCCCTGACGCCACCTGAGTCCTCCAGTCCGACTGGATGAAGATGTTCAGTGGTGGCTGTGCCTTTAGGGTCCAAAACAAAAGTGAGAGTTACTGGCCTGGCCCCCAGCTGCACAGCAGAAGATGGAAGGACTCAGACAGCAGCCGGCTGAAAGCACGGAGACTGAAATCCAGTTTACTGCTGGAACATGGGAACTCACGCTCATCAAAGAAAGCCTCCACAGGAATCAGTGAAAATATGGCAGCATGAAGGAGGCGTCCCTAGCTTCTGAAGGGGCCTGGGGGAGGGTTTCCTGTGACCGGCAGAATTCAGTGTCAGCCAAGGCGTGCGCACTCTACCTTCTCCGTCACAGGGCATTACTGAAGTGGACTTGATTTTTTTACATTTAGTTATTTCGGTTCTACGAGTCAGACCTGGTGTTTCACACATTTACTCTTGCTATATCGCTAGGTGATATCCTCACCCCCTAATTTTACATTTGAAAAAAAGTTAAAAGTAAAAGTAAAAAAATAGCATCAACAGAACCAAACAGCTGGGTATGGTGGCACTTGCATATAATACCAGCACTTGGGGAAGCTGAGGCAAGAGGATTGCTGTGAATTTGAGGCTCGACTGAGCTCTATAATGAGACTGTCTCAAAAAGGCAAACACAAAACACTTCAGAGCTGGGGATACAGCAGCTAGGTGCCTGCTTTGCAAGCACACAGTGGTGAGTTCAGTCCCCGGTACCAAAACAAAAAACATTCCAGAAGAGGCCAGGCATGATCTATCATACCTGTAATCCCAACACTCAAGAGACTAAGGCAGGAGAGCCATGAGTTTGAGGTCACCTTGGGCTACATAGTGAAACCCTTAAAAAACACCCCCCACCAAAAAAAAAAAAAAAAAATATTTCAGAAGAAAAAGACAAAAAAGATTAAAGGAATCAGCGCAACATAACTGATACTACACTTGATCTTAGCCAAAAGGCTGAGAGTCAATGACATGATCTTGATGGGTGTAGGATTCATTTACAGCTTCTTTGTATATCTGAAATTTTCATAATAAACTGGTCTGTAAGGGATAAAAATGTGGAGTTTTGCTCTTACGTAAAGTAAAAATCAAGGTAACAAAATGACTCAATTCTTTTTTTTTCGAACTCACGACTGCCTGCTTTCAAGGCAGGCGCTTATGCCGCTGAGCTAAATCCCCAGCCCCATGACTCAGTTCTTAAAGCCATTTACACAAAAGCAATAATTGGATCTTTTATGCATAGAAAAAATAGTATTAAGATATATAAAGTGAAGCAATTACAAAGATGCTGGAGGCTGGGGATTTAGTTCAGTGGCATAAGCGCCTGCCTTGTAAGCAGGCAGTCCTGAGTTCGATCCCCAGTACCTATGGAAAAGATAAAAAGACAAAAAGAACAAAAAACAAAGACATTGCTGAATGTATCAGTTGTAACTATTTTAACATATATGTCATGTCTTGGCATCCTTGCAAAACAAATGAGATATCAGTAAGTTTTTACAAAAAGGCAATTTACTAGCTTTATAGTAAACTATATTATTCAGACAGTAATTATGGAAATTGATAATGTAAACTATAGGAACAATGATCGTAGTGCTAATATTACATAAAACCAATGACAGTAACAATATGGAAAACAATAAAACGTAGCCACTTGAAAATCAAAATGCCTGTCCTAAATCCCATGAGAAATCAAGTTTGTAACTACACAATATTTGCAAAAATAAAAACATATTTCATATGAAAATAACAGGAATACTCATGGCATTAAGTCCTGTTGTTAAAATAAGGACATTTTATTACACAATACAACCTGTTGACAGAAAAGTCAAAAGACACTGATAAGAAAAAGAGATTGAAATTAAGTGAGGTGAGCATGCTTGTAATCCCTGCACCCTGAGGCAGGAGGATTCCTGCAGTTTGAGAAGAGCCTGTGCTACATAATGAGCTCAAGGCCAATCTGAGTTACATACTCTGTGTCAAAGGAAAGAAAATACTGCCATATATTAGCTATTCTTTTTGTTTTGGTGCCAGGGATCTAACTTATAACTTTGTACTTGCCAGGCCCTGGCCCAGTACTACTGGTACATTAAACATTATAAAAAGTTAGACATAATTAGATCAAGGAAACAATAGTTAAAAACAGTTCATAGTATGTAGGACTGTATGCACGTAAGTGCTTATGTAATTCAGCCTTTTGAATCACTGAAGTGACTGGTTTAAATGTTTGTAAAATAATAAAAATGTTCCTCCTTTACACTAAAATCAAATTCCAGCTACAGATTTAAATGCTAAAGTCACGGTAAACAACAAAAATTGAAGATGGGCATGGTGGCACACGTTTGTAATCCCGGCACTCGGGAGGCTGAGGCAGGAGGATCGTTGCAAATTTAAGACCAGCTTGGGCTACAAAGTGAGCTCAATGCCAGCCTGACCTGCATGGTGAGACCGTGTGTCAAAAAGACAAAAACAAAAACCAAAAATTGATAGGTTAATATGTATGTAATCTTTAGGCTGAAAGGTTTTTCTAGTATAACACCAAAGCAGAAACCAAACCAAAAAAAAAAAATTGATTTCAAGTAAAATAAACCAGTTCCTGGGGTCCCTGCAGGCATAGCAGACTTTAGGAAGCCACTGTGAACTCTGCTCCTTCGCGTCCTGTCCAAGGCTATGATACCACCATTTCATCCGAATCCTCAGTTGTCATTTCTCCTCTTCCTCTTCTTCCCTCTTCTCCCCTCAGCTGGGTACCAGGTCCTACAGAGTTCTCTTCCTGGACAGTTCTTGTTTTGTTCCTCCTCTGGTAACGTTATGGTCACCTCTGTCAGATCTTGCCAATTTCCTCCTTGAACCATTCCATTTCCCCCTAAGTAATCTCCCAGCCTTTCTCACTCATCTCCAATCCATTATTTGGGCTGCTGCCCAAGGAGTGCTTTCAGAAGGCAAAATGGTCATTTTACTGCCCTGGCTTCCCATGTCCACATCTCAGTGACGTTCTCCCTCCGTTGACAGCCACAGTGAAACTGCTCCCACCCCACCCTTACCAGTAGGCAATTCCTTTTCCCCCTGGAACATCAGAAAGACCTGGAAGATTCTAGAACAGTGATGCAACCTTTGAAGAGACTGCATGCCCAAACTACAACCACTACAGCCATTATTTATCCCAAAGACTGCAGTTAAACCTGACTGCTGAGATTTAGCTTAGAAAAAAACAACTGTTATATGATGCTCAACCGCTGGGATGACTTGGCCATGCTTGGTGACAGAAAGGACTCTGCATGCCCACTGCACCACACGTGCCACAGGTGTGCCACCACTGTTTTGGAACTTTCTTTGCTGAGTGCTGGTATTAACAGCTGATCTATCATGCACTCAAGTTCATTTGCTTGCCAATGATCAGAACAAAGGAGGCCATTTATTTTGGTAAAAAGGAAAAGGCATCGACTCGATGCTGATTTGCCCCAGCTCATCAGCTCACCTTGTACAGCGGGTGAAGGTCTTAGCGTGAGGAGCAGGGAGGGGCACACAGACAGCGCTGATCTCCACACTTGCTCCAGCTCCCTTCAGTTCATCCTCCCCTTTCTTCTGGAAAAGAACCTGGCTCCTGCCTACGAGAGTCGGCATCTGCTTTGGGCTGAGGAGAGGAGGGAGTGTTGGTTATTAGCTTGGCAGGAGGAAGTCTGGAGAAGTTGCTTATTTCTAGAAGGAAAAAAGTCTAATTTTTAAAGTTCCATTTTCAGATGCCAGTTAGCACAGCCCTATACTCAAGAGTTGTGATCATGTTCCCCAAGGTCTAACCTTGTCCTTGGCATTTTGAAATCTTCATAAAGATTCACTATAAAGGGAAGAGAAGAAATGTGAGATGTGAACCTTTAGGAGCTCATACATAAACCTTAAATAATGGAACAGACGGCAGATGATACAAGGCTGGGAACAGCTCAGTACTCCAACAAGTGCTTCCAATTCGTGAAGCCCGGGCTTCATCCTCAGCGCCAACACCAACAGAAAGATGATCTCAAGTGACCCTCTAAAGTCCTAATTGCTTTACACACATACTTCTCATTCACTCCCACCGTGAACCTCTGAGGCGTTCTGAGGGTGACAGGACTGTCAATCACCCTTTACTGTCCTCTGCTCAGAAGCCTCTTCTTTTATGTGGCTGGCTCCTCCCCATGGGGAGCCTCCCCAAATGCCCCTTCTTTGACTATGCAATTAATAGGCTCCCGCCCTCTATACTTGAAATAGTCTCATTTTCCTTGACTATTGTCTTTTCTCACTGAAATGTGGGTTTCATTGGCACAGGCCTAGAGGACTTCATCTGAAGCAGAGCGAATTGATCTAGTAACTCCCATGGTCCAGGCTAGGGACATGCTGCCACCGCCAGGTGCCACAGCTAGCTGACATGCAGCATCTGTTCAACTTGGTGACTAGGTTGGAGAAAATTCTGTCTGGCCCTGGAGAACGCAGAGAAGGAATCTGCTTTCTGGCTTGTTATGTTGTTTCTTTTACAAAAGTACAAGGAATAGTAGCTTTTAAACTGTTTTGAGTCAAGGACTTAGCAGAATCCGATGAAACAGTGCTGTCTTTCTCCAAATATTTCATGAGATGTGAAAAGTTTGACCCCAAAGCCCATTCACAGCTTTAGGATCTTCAAGTTAAAACACACACACACACACACACACACACACACACACACACACACACCCAGCCCGGAGAGTACATTTTAAGAAGTAAACATTTTTGCTAAAGGATAATATATGCACACAGGACAGTGAGATCACAAGCGCTTATCTCTCTGGATTTTCCTAAGGAGACAGCACCTCTGTTCAGGTAAAAGCCAGACAGTTGCCAGCTCCCGGAAGCCTCACTTCTGAACTGTGGCTACCACCTAGAGTAACACCATTCTGTCTTCTAACAGCACAGATTCCTTCTGTGTACTCGACCTCTTTTCTTCCTTCTCTTCCATCAGCACCTCCCTCCCTGACACACGGCTGCTGAGCTGGTTGTGTGTAAGGCTATGAAAGCTTTCTAGAAACTCTGAAGGCCAGGGGTGTGCCTGGTGCTTTCCCTTGATCCCCAGACCTGGTCCCTAACCATTTCTGCTCCTCTGCACTGACCAGTGTTTTTCCTCCTGGTTGAGGATGATGAAGACACCTAACACACAACTTGCAGGACCATTTCAGGAGGGAACCACCAGCTTGTATAGGCAACGAGATATGGGGGCCCATATGCCCATCTCTTGAGCTATAAAGTGAGAGCCTGTCTGGAAAAAAAAAAAAAAAAAAAAAAAAAACAAAAACCGCAAAAGGGGACAAACAAGAGCAGAGTTGAAAATGGCACCCGTTCACCCCAGGTGGGACTCGAACCCACAATCCCTGGCTTAGGAGGCCAGTGCCTTATCCATTAGGCCACTGGGGCTTAATGTGACAAAAGCCGGGCACATGCTTCTTAAACTATGACGCTGTAGGCTGCGGAATGACATCAGGTACCAGCACACCTGGACTTACAACCCTCCCCGCTTCCACACCCGCAGCTTTTCGGAGTGGAGGTCCACAAGGGACTGGTGGCCTTTGACCATCTAAAACAAGGGAACTGTCTGCCATCTGGATTAAAACGTTTCACCCGACCACGAAGGGACTCGAACCCTCAATCTTCTGATCCGAAGTCAGACGCCTTATCCATTAGGCCACGCGGTCTCCTGCGGAGGGCTGCTTACCAGACTCATGTTAGATGGCGCCAAGGCCGGTCCACGGTCGGCTCCGCGGCGCCGGCGACTCCGGCAGCCACCGCGCCCGCCCTGCGGGGGGCGCCTGCCGACGCCGACGCCCGGGGAAGGGCGAACCCTCCTTCCGAGCGTCCTCGGCGCGTGGCCTGGGGAGGAGGGCGTCTGACTGCGGAGCCAGCGCCGAGGGTTCGGGTCCCTTGGCGTCCCCTGCGTCCGCCGGGTGCTGGTGCCTCGCTCGCCCCTTCCTCCGACCGCAGCGCACGCGCCGCACTCAGCTGCCCGCCAGCCCGGCCCCGGCTTCGGGTGCCCGGCCCAGGAGCGCGGCGGCGGCTCACGGCTCTGCCGCGCTGTGACACGCTGTCACGGGTCGCGGGAGGGCGCCTGGCCGCTGCGCGTCGGTGGCCTCGCGGGTAGGGAAGCTCCCCCGCTGAGGCAGGGACCCGGGTTCGAGTCTCAGCCGGAAACAGGCTCCTGCATCTCTGGCGGAGATGTTTTGCTCCCCACCTGTGCCCAAAACTCTGCGGAGCCCTTGGCCAACCCCATCTGTGGCCCCGAGTCTGACACTCGAGTGTCTTTTATCCCTGCAGCCAGCTCTCAGAGGTCTCACCGAAGCCATGACCCATTCTCTATCTAGGAGCTGGGCAAAAACGGTGGGGACCGCGCAGGCGATGGCTGCAGCTTTGTCTTGAGAAAATGATTCTTCAAGCCGCGGAGACACACGCGCGTGCGCGCGCGCGGACACACACACACACACACACACACACGCACACGCACACGCACACGCACACGCACACACACACACATGCACAGACATGGTTGCCACACTACATCCCCACTGCACGTCGTGAGTGAAGCCGGAGGATGTTGAGGTCAATTCTGAAGTCCCAAGGTGGAGGTAACCTAAAAAACAAAACAAAATAAAACAAAACCACCTGCTTATTGCACCTGGGACTGAAACACACAACCCGTACCTCAGGGGTCACCCCAGGTGGGACTCGAACCCACAATCCCTGGCTTAGGAGGCCAGTGCCTTATCCATTAGGCCACTGGGGCTTACAAGAAAGATGCCCCACCTCTATTCTTTTAATGGCCACTGAAGTCCAGTCTCAGTCCACGCAAAGCGCGTGCTCGTTCGTGGGCACTGAGTGTGGAGCTGCAGTGCCGAGCTGGCAGGCGAGGCCCGGCCCAGCGCACCCTGGAGCCCGTGCAGAACGCCTGGACCCGCATCACGGACGCTGAGCACTGCGGTTCCAAGGGGCTTTCTGCCCACTGCCCTGGGGCCTTCTGTCCACCTCCAAGAACCAAGGAGACCCAAGAATTTTAGAAGAGATGGTGTGGAAAGTGAAAGAGAGCCGGGCACTCGGGGAGGCTGAGGAAGGAGGTTCAGCCCTGGGCTACAAGTGAGCTCGAGGCAGTCCGAACTGCATAGGGAGAGCCCATTAAAAAAAAAAAAAATAGTGAAAGAGAAAGGATAAAGAGTAACCACGAGTAACCACCAATACTGAAACTGTAACACTGAAAAACCTTCGCATCCTGAGATTGCACAAATCCAATCAGAATAATAAAAAAACACATATACATTTCATTATATATGTATTTCTTTCTTTTAAATGTTGGTTTGCCAGCTGTGTTGGCAAAAGCCTGTATAATCCCAGCACTCTGGAGGTTGAGGCAGGAGAGCTGCTGCAGTTCAGGCCAGCCTGGCCTGAAAAGTGAGTTCAAGGCCACTTTGAACTGCATAATGAAACCTTGTTTCAAATGCATAAATACAATAAAATCAGAGTTTAATACTCCTATACCATATGCATGTAATACACATTATGTGTTCTTGTTTGTGTTTTATAAAAACACATTATTAAAGGGTTAGTCCTTTAAACTCCGTTATTGGAGCCGACACATATCTACCAGATGTAAGAGCGGAAGCTGCTGGGGAAGACTTCATCTGTTCCCTTGTGCCTGATTTGAGACCTTGCAGGGTAAAGGGGATTCAGGGGCATTCCTGTTCGCTTCTCTCCACACAAGTATTCTTTTCTCCTCATCATGGCAGCAAGAAGGAAGGACATAGCCCCCTGGCTCCAGCCTGCTGCCTTTCAGATGCCGTGCTTTAAGTTAGTGACTCCCGGGAGGAGACATGTAGGCAGTAACTGCAGGTCTCCAGTGGCAGCGATGAGTTTGCCTGTGTGCATGAGCTCAGACACATTTCCTCTGCTCTTCCTTAGTGGCCATTTGTAGTGGGCAGCCCCCCCACCCCACTCTACTGACCATTCTCAACATTCAACTGGGCTGATATCTGGTGGCTGTTTCTCGTTTGGGGCCTAGCACTTCTCCCCAGGCCAGCATAGTCAGCTCTTGCAGGCAGCCAGCCCCAAGCCTGTCCCTCCTTGATGACTTTACCCAGCATCCTCCAGTCACAGACAGGCAAAATGTCTCACCCCTAATCCATCAGTAGCTTGAATTTTCTCTTCATTCTGTTGCCACTGCCCTTGTTCCAGGATTGGCTCTTTCCTGCTCACATGGGTCAGCTGACCAGACCTTGTCCACTTTCCTTGTCCTGTCATGAGCAGGTCAGTCATCTCCTGACAGTAAAATCTCAGTGTCTTGGTGTGGTGGCACATCTCTGTAATCCCAGCACTTGAGGCAGGAAGATCCCTGTGAATCCAAGGCCAGTCTTAACTATGTAGCTAGACCTGATCTCACTTCCCCTTCCCCCAAAAGGCTTAGCTCTTGCATTTAAATCTGGCACCTCCCAAGATGGAGTGGCCCCATACCAGCCACAGGAAAGCTTAGGAGTTGCCCAATGATCCCAGCCTCCAAGTGACAAATCTTTGTCTTGCTGGGCTGGCCAGCTTCTCCTCTGCTTGGGGCCCATTTGACCCCGCGTCTCTGACTCTGCATCTAGAACTAGCCATTCCTTTGCCCCATGCAGTCTCTCATTTACTGTGCTTTAGGCTACTTTCCTCTGATAGGAATCCGGTCTTTCTTCTCAGCGTTACCATCATCCGATGGAATGTCAGTTCTCTGCTAGGCCGGGCTTTATGTCGCTGTGTCAGTTCCTCTCTTCATTACCCTGCTGCTCAGCACGTGTTACCTGAATGACTGAGCTAATGCGTGGTGCGTGTCCTGCCTGCGAGCTGCAGCCTGCTCCTAGACTCTGACTTCTGTCTTCACCATCTTCCATTCTGCCAAAGTCACTTTTAAATGACCCTCTCCCCTTTCCTGAACTGAGTGTGCATACTACTACAGTGTATATACTGTGTTTCACTATCTGGACACCACCACGCAGTAATTATCAAATGAAATTAACAGACCAATGCTAAGAAGCTGATTTAATGCCAGAGTAATCTGCTACGGTTATGCTAGCCTGGATGTGTGTCCCCTCTCAGGCTTTCCCGAGCCGGACATGAAAGTGTAGACTGAGAGGAAACAGAAGGATTACAACTTTGAGCCCAGCTTGGGCAGTTCAGTGACTTGGGGAGACTTGTGATTCTTCACCACTGTCAACTTGAGGAATAAACGCCTGTGCTGAATACAGAGGACCATCCTGGGTGTGCACGGCACCAACCCATAGGCTCAGGGCCTGAAGGAAAGGAAGAGAAGGAAGCCGGCAGATTTGCTTGTTTCATTGGAGGAGTTCCCTCTTGGCCTTCGCCATGGACGTCAACTCCTGGCTCCCGGCACAGACTTTTCAGCCTTTGGATGCAGACCCTCTGGCCTCCTGATTGGGACTCACACGGGCCACTGCAGTGAGCTCCACGCCTTGATCTCCAACGTAAAGACAGCCCTTTTGCTTTCTTCTATACCTTACTCTGTGGGTGGCCACTGTAACTCTACTTTGTAAATCCTCATATATTTATAGCATGTATATTGTACATTAAATCTGTTTCTCTAGTAAGCACTGATGCAGAGCCTCTGTCTCAAAAAAAAGTGTGTGTGTGGGGGGGGGGTTGGGTTGTAGTACATCATAAAGGAGTCTGGGGTTCAATCTCTTGTATCAAAAAACGAAACCAAACCACCTCAAAACCCTGTGCCACCTTACTCTTCCTGCCTCTAAGGCCCACTGCCTAGAGTACACCAGCACAATCCTCCTTCCCACTCAGGTCCTCAGTAGCTTCCCATTATCCACATTTGGTAAAGCCCATCTACCTCCCACAAGCTTCCTGCCATTCAGTGCCACTGGCTTTGTCACCTCCCATGGCCCAGCCTGTCATGCAGTTACACTGATTAAAATCCCATACCTTCCCCAAGGCTATGGTTTGTGTCTGGATGTCCCCTCAAAGCCTCCAGCAGTCATAGGTGGGGGCTTTTCCGAGGTGGCTGCCGGGATCAAGTCTGTGACGCAGGGATTAAAAGGTATGACTACTCAGTTAGTCCACTGAGTGGCTGAGCATTGCTCTGGGTGTGGGCGGCACCCCAAAGGTGGGTAATTTGGGAGTGATAAAGGAGAGGCCGGCTGTTGCTTTGCACTTTGCTGCCTCCTGCCTGCCATGAGCTGCTTCTCCTCGGTGGTATCCCTCTGTCCCTGCTTTGCAGACAGCCAACTATGGACTGAAGCCTCTACAAACTGTGAGCTATAATGAATCTCTCCTTTTTGAGTTTGGGTACTGAGCATTTTGTCTCAGTAACAGGAACAGTAACTAAACTAAGACAAAGGCCCAGCTCAAATGCATGTTTACCCGACTCAGCCGCCCACCTGCCTGTGTGCATCTGAGTACAGATCCAGGTCTCTCTGTCCTCCACTTGCTGTCACACAGTCAGCACCGGGGCAGTCACTATGATGCAGATTCTAACTGAGAGGAGGCAGCAGCTTTGTTCTGAATGGAAAGCAAGAGTCTGCTGTGCTCCGAAGTTTATTGCTGGTAATGAGACATTCAATGGGTAACTCGGATCTGACAATATGGTGATCACCTATGAAGAGCTGCAACCCTCATTCTCATCGAACATTTCTGTGAGGGTCCTGATGCTACAGGCAAGCATAAACAGCAAAAATAAAAATGAAAAAAAGAAATCTCTTCGTGGTGTTATGCTTCTGTTCCAGCTGCCCCATGCCCTGAATCGCGGTCCTTGCCGGCTGCGGGAGGTGCCTTCAGTCCACATCTACCCTCCTGCTTGTCTTTATGGCAGAATGCATCCTCTTCTGTCTCAGCCTTTCCCGATTCATGTTTTCTATCCTGAAAGCAGAAAGGCTGCAATGAGACCCCGATGCCCAGTCAGTGTGTTTCAAAGTGGTGAGTGCAGCAGGAGGCAGAGTAGAAGCTGGTAGCCCTGTCAGCGGGTACCAGACAGTGCCGTCAGGGCTGATGAAGCTGGTAGCCCTGTCAGCGGGCACCAGACAGTGCCGTCAGGGCTGATGAAGCTGGTAGCCCTGTCAGCGGGCACCAGACAGTACCGTCAGGGCTGGCGAAGCTGGTAGCCCTGTCAGCGGGCACCAGACAGTACTGTCAGGGCTGGCGAAGCTGGTAGCCCTGTCAGCGGGCACCAGACAGTGCCGTCAGGGCTGATGAAGCTGGTAGCCCTGTCAGCGGGCACCAGACAGTGCCGTCAGGGCTGGCGAAGCTGGTAGCCCTGTCAGCGGGTACCAGACAGTGCCGTCAGGGCTGATGAAGCTGGTAGCCCTGTCAGCGGGCACCAGACAGTGCCGTCAGGGCTGGCGAAGCTGGTAGCCCTGTCAGCGGGCACCAGACAGTACTGTCAGGGCTGGCGAAGCTGGTAGCCCTGTCAGCGGGCACCAGACAGTGCCGTCAGGGCTGATGAAGCTGGTAGCCCTGTCAGCGGGTACCAGACAGTGCCGTCAGGGCTGATGAAGCTGGTAGCCCTGTCAGCGGGTACCAGACAGTGCCGTCAGGGCTGGCGAAACTGGTAGCCCAGTCAGCGGGCACCAGACAGTACTGTCAGGGCTGGCGAAGCTGGTAGCCCTGTCAGCGGGCACCAGACAGTACTGTCAGGGCTGGCGAAGCTGGTAGCCCTGTCAGCGGGCACCAGACAGTGCCGTCAGGGCTGATGAAGCTGGTAGCCCTGTCAGCGGGCACCAGACAGTGCTGTCAGGGCTGGTGCCTGCTTTTGCAGCTCTCCTGCCTGCCTGTGGGGGCTCTTGGGCTCCTTCCTGCTTCCTTCTCACCTGTGCAGACCCCTGCTGTCTGCATTGGTTTCCAGCAGCCCAGGGCATCCTCTCCTACCTGAGTCTCTTTAGCTGAGCATCTTCTTTGGATGGCTCCTTGGCCGGCTGACTGGCCTCGGCAATCATGTCTCGAATTTTCTGTAGGCAATCTGCCAGATTCCGGAACTGGTATCGGCTGCTTTCAGAGGTGATGATCAACTCTCCTGACTTGTTGATCTTATTTTTATGCTGCAGGGAACGAAGGAAAAAGTGGAGTCCCACAGAATGAAGGTTTAAAAGCACCCGAGGAATTTGTAGGAAAAGAAATGTGGCAGGTGGGTACCGTGAGGGCAATCTTCTGCCGCACGGGCTCTGCGATCCAATCGGCAGTCGCCAAATGGAACCTGACCTCAGCCTTTGAATTTACTGTGAAGGGAAGGAGAAGAAAGCACAGGTCACAGAGGCTCTCAGCAAGTGGCAGCAGCCGGGGGAATCGTGACCGCCCTGAAACACAAGGAGGCCAGAGACCCAGCCATGGCCGTTCCAACCACAGGGCTGCAAAGACAGCCACGTTCTTTGGGACGGGGAGATTTCTGGGAACCAAATGCCCAGTGCTTGCCTTACAGTTTTACTAGGTTCCAAGGAGAATGTGGGGAATGCATTCCATGAGAATGAAAGAAACCTGTTCTTGGAGTGGGATGCTGGCTCATCTGTGACTTCTCTTTGTTTAGCTTCACAAGCTGGTTCTAACCTTAGCAGTCTACAGCAGAGAGCCTGACAATCAGACCACATTCAGCAGAATAAAGAGGGTTATTATAAGCTGGTGGTATTTAATCTGCTGCTGAAAGATCCCTTTATTCCACATGAGCGTCAGCACTGTTCCCTCCTCCAGCTCAGCTCCCAGCTAAGTTTTAAAGCAAAGGCAGACAGCAAGGTACCTATACCTTTGTTAACATTCTGGCCCCCAGGACCACTGCTCCGACAATAAGATATCATCAAGCGGTCTATAAAACAGAAGAATACACAGACATGCACAAATGATTATGCTACAGCCGAGTATGTGAACGACTACATTATCACCAACGTGGCATCCCTATTATACATCTCTATCACCCACGTGTGCACACACAGTACAACATTCAGATCTGGAGCCCTGGAGATTTACAGATGTCAAAACTGACCTCAGAGAAAGTGACTTCCTTAAAGTCACCCTGAGAGCACAGGAAGCAAAATCATGACATGGTTGTTTGCTTGTAACCTAGCACATTCTTTCTGCCCAAGCTTTTTGCAGTTTGTTATAAAGCGAGTACTTGGCTAAGATCTCAGACTGAGGGACAGACTTTGTTTAACCTACCTGTGTGTTGGGCGTGCAGAGCCCATGGCCTAGAAGTTGCAGCTGGGCCGGGCTGTGTCTGATTCATTGCTGGGAGCCCACTCACTCAGCTCCTGCAGACATCCTCAGCAAGGCCGGCAAGGGCACTTCTCTGCCTCCAGTTGGGTGTGACAGGAAGCGTCCTGCCTTCTCCCTCCACATCCGCCTGAGGGGCCGATCAGCAGCCCGCAGGGCCTCTTTGCTACAGCACAGCCTCAGCCTGCAGCCACAGTGTCACCCACTGCAGGTTCTTGTCTTCTTTTTATGTTTTTTTTTTTTTTTTTAAACAGTACTACGGGTTGAACGTAGGGGCTTTGTACTCAGGTTCATCCCCAGCACTTTTTATTTTTGTATTTATTTTTTGGTACCAGAAATCGAACTCAGGACCTTGTACTTGCCAGGCAGGTGCTCATGCCACTGAGCTATGTCCCTAGCCCCTTCCCCAGCACTTTCTGGATTTTTTATTTTGAGACAGGGTTTCACTAAGTTACCCAGGCTAGGCTCAGACTTGTGATCCTCTAGTCTCAGGCTCCCAAGCACTGGGATTACAGATGCGCCCCGCTGTGCCTGGCTGTCTCTGGCTGCCCTGTTTGTGTGTCACGCTGAGCACAGGACATGGCCACTCTGCCCTTCACAATCCTGAGATTTACAACCTCTCTGAGTCTAAAAAGGGCTCGTTGTTTCTTTCTAGGTCACACCGGTTAGACCTTACAATCCCTTCAGGTACAGAACCCTAAAGTCATACAATGGGTCACATGGAGAAGAGCCCCACTCATGTCCCCTGTCATCAGGTCTGTCTATTCCTTCTTCTCCCAAAGGTAGTCACCATATCCACATTTTTGTACATCTTTTCAAATACAGATACAGATACACGTGTATTGATAGACACAGATAGATTTCAGATGCACAAAACACAAATGGCAGCCAATCTACTCTTCTGTATATTTCTTCTTTCCAATAACCAACGTATCTATTGTAAAGGTTGTTGCGTGTCACACACATACCAGCCCTCCATCTGTGAGGCACACTTCGTAACATCCCCTAAGTGACTTCACTTTTACTTAGTATTCTAAACAATGCTGCAACACTGCACTTGTGTACATTCAGAGATGGTTTCCTTTTATTTCTTTTCTCCTTCTTATTTTTTTGAGGCAGGGTTTCTATGCAGTTCAGACTGGCCTTGAACTTATTTTGTAGCCCAGGCTGGTCTTGAACTTGCAGTGATCCTGCTGCCTCAGCCTCCCGAGTGCTGGGATTAGAGAAGTATGCCACCACACCCAGCTTGTTTTAATTTTTTGAGAGATGGTTTCTTTATTTAATTTTTATTTATTTATTTATTGGGTATCCAGGATCTCACTCACTACCTTGTGCTTGCCAGGCAGGTACGCACTGATCTAAATTCCAAGCCCCTGATTTCTCTATTTTAGTTGGGTTGAAAAAATCTGAAAGGAACATTTGAGGGTTAAAGGAAAAGACTGGCTTTTTCTTTTTCTGGGAGGAGGGGGAGAGGGTGTGATGGTGCTGGAGATGAAACTCAGGGTCCCTCGCCAGATTTTAATAAACTTGAACCACTTACCCACAGGGATATCATTGCAGGCCTGCTTGGCATCATCCTGTAATGAAATACACAGTGTCAGATAAAATATTAGACGCCAGGTAACTCCTGAGTTATTTCTTTTTTTTTTTTTTTTTGGTCTTTTTCCTTTTTATCGGTACCGGGGATCGAACTCACAACTGACTGCTTGCAAGGCAGACACTTATGCCGCTGAGCTAAATCCCCAGCCACCTCCAGGTAACTCCTAACTGGTCCACAGCAACAAAAACCAAATGGTGCAAAGCCATAACGTGATTGTGATACATTACTGCTTTCAGGGCCCCAGTAAAACCATATCATCGGCGTGACAAAAGAGCATGCCTGGGGGCTGGCTTTAGCCCAGCGGTTCCTGGGTCCAATTGGTCCGGTGGTTTGAGACCCGCAGGCGCTCTCCAGTCCTTTAAAAAAAAAAAGAAAAAGAAAAAAGAGCATGCCTGGCCTTCAGAGACACCACAGCAGAGGCCTGGTTCCTAGGGGTGGGGGGTCAGGAAGCCTCCAAAAGCAACACCTTCTGCCAGCCAGGAGCAATAAGTCCGCCAGGCCGCTGTGTCACTTGCAGGGCCACAGGAGTCACACATGTGGGCAGCCTACCTTGCATGAGGCCTGCGCCCTCAGCTCTGAGGTCCCTGTCACACTGAGCGACTCACTCTCGGCCTTGTCACCTCCGTGTGTCTCCAGGGCTCTGCAATCTGCACCAGTGCTCTTTAACCCGAAACCCTCAGGTCCACAAACCCAGCAAACACTGCTCCCGCCCAGGTTTTCTGGGCCTCTAAGCTCAAAGCACCTGCATCTGTACCTCCTCTGGCTATCTTATTCCCTTATCACACAATTATTTGGAGGTAGAATCCTCACCAGCTCTTCCCTCTGCAACTTTGATCTTGAAGCTTGCTCTTCCCCTTCCTCTTGAATGACTCTCTCTAGATTTTGCTCTTGCCTCCCCAGGCCTCTTTCTCACTCCCCTTTGCTAGTTCTATGCAAGTTTTATTTACTTATTTATTTTGGTACCGGGCATTCAACTCACGACTTCATGTTTGCCAGACAGGCGCTTATGCCGCTAAGCAAATCCCCAGCCCTGCAAGTTTTATTTTTATTTACTTATCTTTTGGTGCTAGGGATTGAACCTAGAGCCTTATGGATGTGAAGGACATGCTCCACCAACGAACTACATCTCCAGCCCTCTCTGCAACCTTTAAACACTGATATGCACCTTAACACACACACTCTATCTGTCTGTCTGTCTCTCTTTCTCTCTGTTTCTCCAGAACACTATCTATCTCTGCTGATGGCTCTCTACCTTCTGGCTCAAACTCGAAACTTAACTTGTCCCATGTACTCAGTTGCTACTTGATGTCACCTTCAGAGGCTTAAATGGATGGACTTCAGGTTTTCTCGAGGAGACTCCCCTTACTAGCAATCTGAAGTAGCCCCAACTATTTGCTAGCACAGCATCCGGTCAGGTCAATACATGGAAATCAAGAACCAGAATCGGAGCTTTAAAAGTCAGAATTTTGAAAGCTAAGCCATTTGTCCAGCTTCCTCACGCTGAGAGCAACAACTGCCATCCCCAGTTGTGGTGCTGGGGAAGTTTCAACAGAACCAGACTTGCAACATTTTTCTGGGTTCACTGATGGACCAAAGCCTGGCTGAATCTGAGGTAGGACAGAAGAAGTAAAGGTAGGTGAAAAGCAGATGGGAAACTCAATTTTTTGTCTCCTTTATTACCTTAAAACTCTGGGTCAGATGCCTCCTGGGCTCTGTTCACAGCCATGCCAATCACTTGAAGAATATCTGTATCATAAGGTTTATTGGTTCTAGATTTACCTAGTCTATCCCATGCTTCTTTAAGACTGAGGACATCAAGAGAAGAGTGACTTAAAGTAATCTTCAGTTCATAGGGACACACAATTGTCAGTGTTCCATGTCCAGTTCCCAAGTTTCTGGAGTGACACCTAGACATCTCCAAATCTACAATTACCTTGAATTCTAGGAGAAGTAAAACTTTGCAAACCAAATCATGGTGAGATCACTTCCAAGCAGGGGTAATTACCCCGTGTATGAGGATTCCTCCAGAGCTTCAAACCATAGCTGAGATAGCAACTGAGCAGACCCTCAGTTAATCCACAAAAGCTGGCCTGTGCTTTTGTGGGTGGACCAGTCCGAGCCTCTGCATCAGGGCGTGCCCCTCCAGCTACTCAAACTAGAATCCTGTTTTCTCTTATGTTTTAACTCTGCCTAATCAATCTGCCTATGCCACGTGGCATGGCCTGAAATTCTTTTTCGATGATGTAAGAAACTACTCAGTGGGCCACGCTGAGGTCTACACCTCCTCTTTAAAACTTAGTGACTTAGCAAGACCTGATCACAAAATAAAAACATTTTTAAAAGGCTGGGGTGTAGCTGAGTGCAAAGGCACTGGGTTCAATTCCAAGTATGGGAAAAAAAAAGAAATCCTCTTTGGGGGACCCCTTGTACCTATTTGGTGACAAATACATATACAGTCTTCCTAGCTTTGGTCCTACTCCTCTGATAAGATAAAGTGCTTCTGTGCACTTGGGAAAGGATGGACTGTCTGCCTTCAATTTTCCACTTTTATGGAATTTTCTCTTTTTCAGGCAAACGAACTCAGATAGTAGGGGCCCAGCTCAAGCCTCTGTGGTGTGTACCCAGAAAACAACACGAATTCTCATTACTTCATGTTTTCCCTCTTTGGTAAGTGAAAGCCCCTCCCGGTAGACTGTAAGCTCCAGGAAGCAAGGATGCCATCTGTTTTCCCAATTATGGCTGCAGGCTGCTATACTTCAAGGTGCCTGACAGTAGGTTCACAATAAACTTTTGTTTAATGAATGAACAAACCAATGTTTTCCCCACTCTCTCATTTTAATTAATGGCAACTCAGTCCTTCCATTGTTCAAGAGCCCCGACTTTGATTTTTCTCTTATTCTTTCTTCATTTCCAACCATCAGCGAATCCTGTAGGCTCAAGTATGTCTTAGATCTGACCCATCCTCAAGAACTATTGCTTCCATCCTGTGTATCCTTTTTCCTGTATCATTGCAGTTTCCTAACTTGCTGGCTTACACTTTCAGTCCTGCAGGCTACTCTCCATAAGGCTTTGTTAGAGTGATCCTTCCAGGAGTGGCTCATACCTATAATGGAGTGCTGAGCCAGGAGGAGTACCAGGTACTCAAGGCCAGCCTGAACTACGTGAGACTGTCACACACACACACACACACACACACAGAGCAATCCTTCTAAAAGTAGCTGTCTTATTCTACTCTCTGTCTCAAATCTTTCAATAGGTCTCCGCTGCAGGTGGAGGAAAAGTTAGAGTGTAGTAAGCCTCTCCATGAATGGCCCTCTCTCCACCCACCTCCTTCCTCTGATTGCTCTGCTCAGTCACACCAGTGCAGCATGTGACTGTTGCAGGAAGGCTGCACTTGGTGTTCCCTCTGCCTGGATGTTTTCTCCCTCATATCCTCACGGCTCACTGTTTTGCTTCTTCCAAGTCTTTACTGGAATATCACCTCTTCACTGAGGTCTCCCAGACACTCTGTACTGTCATTCTACATTCTGCTTCTAGTACTCCTTTCTTCTGGGCTTTCTCCAAAGTACTATCTTACACACTCTTTATTACTTACTGTTGCCTGTCTCCTTACAGCAGACTACACCGTCCGCAGTTTTAGTTTTGCTTTGGATACTCTATACAGTAGTCTAGGATAATGAACACAAACTCAATCCCAAAAGAAATTTGTCAGATGGGTGTGGTGGCACAGGCTGTAATCCCAGCATCTAGAGAGAAGCTGAATAGAAAGGCTCATGCGTTCCAGGCCAGACTTGGTTATAAAGAGAGAACCATTTTTTTTCTTTTCTGTTTTTTTGAGACAGGATTTCACTATGTTGTAGTTCAAGCTGTCCTTGAACTCAATATGTAGCCCAGATTGGCCTTGAACTCAAGGCAACCCTCCTGCCTCAGCCTTCCTTGCTGGGATAACAGCAGTGCAGCACCATGCAGGGCGACAGAACTTGTTTTAAAAACAAAATACAAAAGACTTGCTGAATGAGTGAACACTGTAGTCTCCTCCAGCCCATAGGCGCAAGGTCAATAGCACTGGGTGGGTTCTGTTCCCCTCGTTGTGGCCCATGGAAGTGCATCTTTACGGAACAAAGGAAAAGTCTTGTTTCTTTTTCAGGCCTGCTGGGGTTAGTAGAAGCAACTGACCCCACAACGTTTCAAAGGTTAGCAGTTTGCCAGGCTCTGGCCTCTACTGTCCACTTTGCAAAACCAGAATGCCCGCATTTTCCCTTGGGACGAGCATTTGTTGGGGCAGGGGTTGAAGACCAGGAAACGTACGCGGAAAAGCCGCTTATACCGAAAGATGCCTATCTACCAGGTTCTCACAATGCCCGGCACACCAAAAGTTACACCGGCGCCACGACACGCCTTCAATTCCAACCCTCTCCAGACCACTGGTAGACCTCCACGTAGCTCCATGCCGGGCCAATGGGACTCTGGCCTCCTGACTTCACCTAGCAACGGGAGGAAACGCCCCTTCCGTCCTGGTTTTCCCGGCTCACCGGAATTTTCCAGGCAGTGTCCGATCCCTTGGACTCGGGGTAGAGTTTGTCCAGACTGTAGATGCTGTGGAACTCGGCGCCATATACTTGCTTGTTTAGAGCACTTCGAGGGCAGCTTGCAGGCAGCAGAGGCAGCCGGGATCCGACTCTCCTCAAGGTCCAGAGCAAGCACCAGGTGGCCGCCATGTTGGATTTTTGAGGCCGCTTCCGGTGTGCTCTCGCTTACCGGGGTCCGCAAGGTCACATCGCTGTCAGTTATTTAGTTCCGCGTGGCTTTTAGGTCCCGCTCCCGGGAGCGGGCGAACGCTTTCTTGCGGTGCTTCCGGGACGCCTATCTCTGGGAGGCCAAGCTGGGAACCTGCCACTATAGCGAAGCTGGATCCCGTCTGGCTTAAAGACATGATTTCTCTTTTTTTCTGTCGGTGACCTCCCGTCTGGACCTCTCAACCCCAAAACAAACACACCATTGAGGTCCTTTGTGTCCGGCTGTGGTTACTTCCCACCCTCCTGTTCTGCACCCCTCGTCCTTCTTTTTGATGCTTTGCTTTAATCCTTATTTTTTTTAAAATTCACCATTAAAAAAACCCATAGCCTTGTTATATGGTTCAGGCTAGCCCAGGCAAACCTTTAACTTGCTGCAATGCTCCTGCCTTAGCCTCCCAAGGGCTGGATTACAAGGCATGCGCTGCCACGCCTGCTCCTCGAATCTGGGGATTTTTCTAATTTCATTCCCTGTCTTGTAGCTGGAATGTAAGCTCCGGAAAAACACTGGCATAGTGCTGTATCCCGAGCGTGCAGGATGCGGCACATTTTGGGCGCTCCACAGATACTGATCACATGAATTCTGTAGGAAATGCGTTTTTGAAAGTTGAGGATAGTTAGAGGAGTCAGAGCTTCAGGTCCTCTCACAAGACCGCCTATAAACACCCTCCCCACCCCCACCTCAGCATAAGTGTTGGTTGGGAAGGCTCCTACCCATTGCTGTGCAGGAGGGGAGGCAGGTCATGGAGGGAAATGTTTTAAACCTGGACCCCAACCCCTTTCCAGCTTTGCAAAGAAAACAGAACTTAGTAAAGGTTAGTAATCATTTGTAATGCTTGTGGTTTCTTAATGAAGAGTTCAACTTTTAGGAAAAGGCGTAATTATGTAGAAAAATATGCCCCTGGGATAGTTTAAGTATCCCCTGGGAATCCTAGCTGATGAAACAGGAAATTGTCATTGAGTCAGGCCTTTACCACCTCAGCATCATTGAGAGAATAAACCATTTTATTCTCTTTGTAAGCTCAAACTAGGAAGGGCTGGCAACTGACATACTCCGGTTGGGCTGTAGCCTGGGAGGAGAGTCCTCTGGGTATCTCCCTCAGTCCCAAGATCCCAGAGGGAACAGAGACATCGCCATGGTGACTGGAAGGAGCTACTCAGAGAAGCAAAACCAGGCACTCGCTCAGGTCAAGGGCTGAGGACTATGAATAGTAAGTCAGCTTTTCCTGGCCATTTTTGCTGTCAGGCTGGGCTTCAGCCTGTGCCTGACCCAGGGCCACAGGAATAGGAAGATTCCATGCAGATTTCATGGCCCCAAATAAACACAGCCTGCTTAGGCCATCTGGTGGCCTGGATTCTGGGAGAGGTGGGGGTGGAGGAAAGAATGAGACAGGATGCCCTGAGGTGGAGGAAAAGGCAGCTGGCAAGCTCCTTTCACCTGCAGATGCCAGGAACCATCCAGAATGAGGGTCTTCTGGGAGAGGGACCACCTGCTCCTTTAGAAAAGCAGGCCCTGAAGGCGAGGCCAGCATTCTTTCCCTCTTGGTCCCGCATAGGCTGAGCTGGTGCCTCGGGAAGAGAATATTCGAGGGAGAGCAAGAAAAGAGGGAAAGAAAGGATAAAGAATCAGAATCACTAAGATACTGCTGGCAGCTGAGGAGCTTGCAGACAGCAGCCACTTTCTGTGGCCTGGGTATCGGGGAGGGCTCCGTGTAATTTCCCTTCCTTCCCTCAGGTACCCTGGAGCAGAGGCCTTTCATGACTCAACATGTTGTGAACATGGGGACAGGTGTGCCGTGGTGGAATCAGTCCGGCCTGAGTTTGAGTATTTCTGTGTGATCTTGAATTATAACCCTAAGTCTCCATATCCTGGTCAGCAAAGTAGAGATCTTCTAGCTGCCTCATGATGTTCCTGAAGGTACTGAGCACTGGCAAAGCACTTAATACAGTGACTGGCACTTAATACAGTGAAGTCAGCATGCACCAAAAATTAACTGCTGCTTTGCTAAGTCCTTACAACTTTTTTTTTCCTTTTAGAGACCTGCTGACTCTTTTTCTCTGCTGTTCTCGGGTAAAATGCAGTCTGACTGTGTAGCTCTATCCTGACCCTTTTTCCTCTTTCCACAGCATGCTCCCTGGCATGAGTGAGTTGGCAAAGCTGCTTCCTACTTCCTCTACCACCACGAGCTTGTCTCGTTTCCTGAAAATACCCCGGGGGCTTTCAGCTCCATTTGGGAGGAGGCCTAGGCAGATCTGGCTGGCCTGGTCCCCCATCGTGGCGGTGGTTTGGTGGGTTTGGCCCAGGGAATGGGGAAGGTGTCAGTTCTAGGAAGGAGGGAGCTAGAGAAACCTGGGGAGCAGCAGGAAGTGTCTGCCAGTTGGGGCCCAGGTGATGATCAGCAGGGAAGAGGGGCAGTTGAAAAGCCAAGGGAAAGGCAGAGACAGTAGAGGGGGCAGCTCAGTCCTACAGCACTTGCTGAGCATGTGCACGGCTCTGGGTTCAGTGCCTAGCACAACAAAAACGAACTAGGGAACAAACAAATGCCAGGGAGCAGGGAGGCCGGGCCGGGTTTCAGACAGCTTTCTTTGCTTCAGTTCTGACTGCTCTGTGGGAGCAGATCGGGGAGTGATTTACCAGCACTTTGAAAGCAGGGGTGGGTGAGGTTGCATGTGAGTGACAGCAGATATTCCAAGGGGCACAGTCCCTGCACCTTTCTTTCTTACTTTTTTCTTTGCAGAGGTAGAGATGGAGCCTGGAGCCTCATGCAGCTTGGCAGGTGCCACCGCGCTACTTCTTCAGCCTCCAAGTTGCTCGATTGATCTAAACCCAGGGGTGCATTTCCAGGCCTCACACGTCTCTGCTTGGGCAGACTAGACCACGCGCACTTGGAGATCACAAGGCACGGGAAGTTACCTGGCGGTAAACGGAAAACATAAGGGTTTTCTCATCTCATCTGTACCATGAGGGCGGAGCTGGTGAAATCCTGGAGATGGAAGGCCCCAGAGGACAAGCTCATCTTCTTGTGGGTAAGAGACAGACCTCTGGGGAGGAATGGCGGTTCTTTTAATGTATATTGAAAAGATGGTGGAATTTCTAAAGTGCAGGACACCAGGAGATGGCCCTCTTGTCACTCTTGTGACTGTCCTGTATCCCCGTGGGCATCTCAAGGACTGTCCTGCTTCCTCCTTTGTGGTCCCTCTGGGCATCAACCTCCTTCTCTCCCCGTATAGCGCTCAGCCTCCATCCAGCACCCTGGGAAGCTTTTCAAACCAAAACTGACACCTTTAAGACAGGCTCAGAAACCTTGCAACCACTTTCTAGTGTGCTTAGGAGGCCCAGGTCTCCCCTGGCCTGCAGGGCTCTCATGGGGAGGTCCAGCTACTCCCTGAGCTGCACAACTCCCACCCCCCAACTTACTTCCAAGTCCTGATTCTCAGCTAAATCTTCACACTGGTTTGGGCTCGGGTGCCCCTGGCCAGTCTCATTCGGTATTTCTCAACCTTCATTTTTATTACCACACTCCTTGTCTACCTTGGAAAAGCAATTATAGACATTTTTTCTCCTAATTGTCCCCCATGACCCCCTCCCCAAGTATGAAGATTGAACCCAGGGCCTTCATACTAACATCCCTGGTCATTTTTTATTTATTTTTTGAGAAAGGTCTCACTAAGTTGTTAAGTTGCCAAGCTGCCAGGCTAGACTGAAACTTTGGGTCCTCCTGCCTCAGCCTCTCAGAGTGCTGGTATTACAGTAGAATGTCACCTGAAAAAAATTTTTTGTAGTGAAAAAAAATGTATATTAAGCGTTTGTCAGCTGGATTCAAGCTTAGTGATCTCAGTTTCGTCGGCAGCATCCACAGCATCGTGAGCGGTCCACACAGGCCTTCTCCCCATCAGGCTGAGTGCATGTGGACCCGGCCGCACCATCACAGAGCTTTTTCACAAGCAGTGTGATCCGGTGCTTCTTGCCCTTGAGGGCTGCAAAGACCACAGGTACGGCTGTCTTCCATGTTTTACGTGTTGGGACCGTGGCTGAGGGGAGTCGGTGGCACAGTGGCCAAGCTGCTTTTCCTCAGGGTGTTCTTCGAGGCTCTTTGAGCAGCCTGAAGATGGAGGATGTGCCACTAGTACACTTATTTTAGATATATATGACATAGTAGATGATCTAATATACATATATGTTGCCTATACATACACACATGTACATATGTTCTATACATAAGATTAATTTTTTTGAGTTAGTTCTTCCCATGTAGTCCAGGCTGCTTCTAAACTCACTGTGTAGCCCAGGTTGGCCCTCCCTCGGTGACCCTCCCACCTTAACCCCCCAAGTGCTGGGAGTGCTAGGTTGTTATCACCCACCTGGGTGAAATTAAGATGTGAAAAACGTGTTTTGTCCCCCCTGTTGACATGTGCTCTAGTGATGGAGCACCACCGTTTGCTCCAATTTTCCTGTCACCCTCCTTTTGATTTTTCAAAGTGGTTTCACAGTGAGCTTCCCTACAGTGGAATATAAACTCCTGGGAACCGGGACCCCTGTCTGTTCTGTTCCCCATTGTCTCCCCACTGTGACAGGAAGAGCTATCCCTGGACACCCAGCTGGAGACCCCAGGGATCCTGCTGCACTGAGCTATCCCTGGACACCGTTCATGGGAGGTGAGTGGGGAGAGGCTGTGGACCCCGGCACCCAGCAGCTTCAGAGGAAAGAAAGGCTGGTGGGATCAGGGCTGATACTTCCCTCCCCTGTGGTGGATGTAATGGAGGGAAGGCATGTGAGATGGACAGACGCACGGACGTTGTCTCCAGGGCTACTTCTGCTTTTTCAATACTGGTGCATTTTTATTAAAGAAGAGAATAAAGCATTTGTAAATATATTTCTCTCATGTATACTTCAAAGGTGACACTGATCGGCTGCTACAGAGCTGGGGAGTAAAGAGGCCAGCACTCCCGCTGACCCCATCTCCCCCAGATGACAGACATATGGAGGGCCAGGAGCTGCCCAGCCCCAAAGGACAGAAAGGTTCTAGGTTGCACACACAGCACTCAGCCGCCAGCTCACATCACAGTGCAGCCCGGAGCACGGTGGCACCTCCAGGGATGTCAGGCATGCTTGTTAAGAAAACCCCTTTACCCACTAGAAAGAAATAAGGCATGAAGGTTTCCTCTGGGCTCCCAGCGCAGAGGCCAGGATGGCTGCCTTCTACTGGATTGTATGGCTCCTCTGATTCCCAGGGCCTCAGGAAGGATGGCAGAAGGAACTAAATCTCTGAAGGACTGTAGAGGAGAAGCTGGGCACCAGGGCACCTCTTAGCTGAAGTTTGACCCTTGAAGCCTTACACCAAAGGATGGAAGACCTGACCCAGCTGGGACCTCAAAAGCCTCCACCAAGGTGGGAGGTAAACAGCAGGCTTGTTACAGGAGGGAAGGAATAGTGCCTGTTATAGCACTATTCAGTGTGGGTGAGAATCTTGGCAGTGCCCAGGGAAGAGGACCAGGGGTAGACACTGGGACCTCTTGCTGCTGGCACATGCCCAGGATATTCTGTGGGCTGCAGATGTGTTCTGCATCAGGGCTGGCCTGTAGCAATTGTGGGGAGAATGAGACGTCATGGTCCCTGAGATGGGGGCAGGTGCAGACATGGGGACAGGGGTTCCCTCCATTCTGACTCCTGGAAAGCTTATGCCCAGAAAGCACTTCTGGGGCTGGAATTCAGGGAGGCTGAGAGACACAGGGGTCCTTGAGTATAACTGTCAAGGGGCCCCCTCGTCTCCTCTTCTGATTGGCTACAGATGTACGGTGGGCTGAGGGTTCTTCCCAGGTTTGGAGCAAGGCAATCAAGGCCAGGGTGAAGCTTCCTGTTTTGCAGACCAAGGGCTACCTGTGACCTGCTCAGGATTCTGGGGCTCAGGGAATGACAGCGCGCATCATGGCTGGTGGAAAGCAGTGAGTGGTCCAGGAGACCTTAGGAGCCTGCAACATTGGCTCTTAGGGTCCCCTTTCAAGTGTTTCCAGTTGTGGCAAGCAGTCAAGGAAGATCTTGTATTGCAAATCTTGCAGAAAAACTTGAGTTTGAAAAAACGACAACAAAAAACCAACTAATCCAGAATGGCTTCCCGAAACCTGGTCCCCTCTGAACGTGAGGCCCAGGGTCAGGAAGCCAGGAGCAGAGTGCCGGGGAACCCCCAGGGCAATGGGGACTTTTGGCTTTGACACTGAGCTTTGTCTTCAGGTGGAAGCGAGTGGCTGGTTCCATCCACTGGAAACATACGTCATCCCCAGATCTGAGGGGCTTTGTTCCTTGCCCACGGATGGAGAGGCCACCTGCTGGGACATATTGCTGCTAAAGGACTCTCATTTGCCACAGGCTGTGTGGTCCAGGCCTCAGGGACCCTGTAGCCTGGAGCCCAGGGAGGATACAGGCCACGAAAGGGTCACTTGCTGCTGAGTGTCTTAACTTTTGTGGCATTGATGTCGGCCTTGGTCTTTTGGATTCTGGCAAAGATCTCCTTGAAGAGCGCCTTGTATTCAGGCTGGCTCTGCTCCAGCCGCTTGTCCACAGCCTCCACGTGCTGGCTCAGGCTCTTCTCCCCACCCTGGCCTTCCTCGCCCCCTCGCAGGTCCCTCCACGAGCTGTCTCGGGAGATGGGCCGCGAGGTCTGCACACCCGCGTGCCGCACCCCCGCCCCATGCTGTCGGCACTTGCTCAGCAGCTCTTCGTATTTCTCCAGCAGCGCGTGGTACTGCTCATCCACCTCCCGCAGGATGGACATGCCGCGCCTGCGCACGCTGTTGGCGTGCAGCGTGAGGCTGCCTGCGTGCCGACCGGCGGGGTCTTTGGCCACGATGGCGTTGAGCGCCGTGTCACTGCAGCTCTTGCGCACAGCATGGCCTGGGGAAGCAGCGGGCGAGGCGACACCGTCCGGTACGCTAGAGTCGTCTCCACTACCTGGCTGAGGGTCGTCAGCCTCAGGAACCTGAGTGAGGGGTGCCAGCAGCGCCTCGGCCAGGTGGTCATCCCGGCCCAGCAGGTAGGTCTTGGCCTGCTTCATCTGCTGCAGCTCCAGGATCTCGGCTTCCAGCTCCTGCACGCGCAGGCGGCAGCCCTCCATCTCGCACAGCTGCCGTTCCAGCTCCGTGTACTCCTGCAGCACGGCCGTGTACTCGCGCTCTGCCCGCTCCTTGCGCTGCCGCTCCTGACTCACCTGAGAGCGCAGGACCTCCACCAGGGTCTGTAGCCGCTCGTTCTCCTGCTCCAGGGTTCGAGGGCCCAGCTCCAGGGAGGAACTGTGCAGGCGGAAGGCATCCTCGCACCTGCCGAGAAGCAGGGCAGGTGGTCACGGGCCAGGCCTCCCAGCCCAGCTGGCTATTCTGTCTCCGGTAATCTCCACCCCTTTTTCCCGCTGGAGGCTGACCACTGGGGCCTCAGCCAGGCAGGAGTGTTTTCTCCTCATGCCTTGCCCCTGTATGGTCCAGCCAGGCAGTCCTCTCCATCCTGTCTAAATTTCAGTGATTTCCCTCAGCTTGGCCCAAGGCCTAAGGATGTAGCCCTAGGATGCTGTGGTTTCCATTCAGTTGCTCTTTTCTATTAAACTCCCCTCTGTGCAAGGATTCTAACTTTTATTTCTATTTTTAGTTTTTTGAGACAGAGTCTCGCTATGTAGTCCGGGCTGGCTTCGAATTCACTGTGTAGCTCAAGCTGGCTTGGAACTCGAGGCGATCATTCTGTCTCAGCCTCCTGAGTGCCACCATGCCTGGCTAAGGACGCAATTAAAGCACTCCCACTAAATACATGATCTGTGCTATGTGTATGGTTCATATCTGTAATCCCAGGACTCTAGGGGGCTGAGGCAGGAGGATTATAAATTGGAGTCTAGTCTGAGCAGTTTACTGACTTAGTGAGACCCTGTCTCAAAATTTAAGAAAAGGTATGAGATGCCTGGGATGTAACTCAGTGGGAAAGCCCTGGGTTCAATTCCCAGTACCACCAAACAAAATCTGCCCTGCTTCCCAGTGCTGGGGATTGAACCCAGGACGTCATGCATGTTAGGCAAGCAGTCTACCACAAGCTATACCAGCAGCCTGAATTCTTTTTCTTTTTTTACAGGCTATAATTTTCTCATCTGAGTAAGGGTCTGAAAAAAGCACAATTTGCAGCAGGTGATAAGCATTGAAGTAGCCGAGTACTGGTGCATAGCCAGGGCACCATAAATGCAGCTGTTCTTGTCTTTGGAGACAGCATCACTGAGGCTCTCCTGGACGGGCTTCAAGCCGCCTTCTTACCTGTGTTTGGCATCCATCTACTCTTTCCTCCCTTCCTGGGACGCAGGGACACCAGGCCCCTCACCTACCGTGGGCTGGTGCACAGCTCCTTGAGGCAGGGGAAAGTGTGGATGGTTCGCCTGCGGTCCCTTTTCTCCCGGCGCATGCACAGCTGCTTCAGCCCCCTCAGCTGCTCCACCTGGGCCTGTAGCTCCTCCACCTGGGCCTGCAGCCGCTCCTCAGTCTCTGTCAGCCTGGAGTTGGGGCGGGGAGGGGGAACAGAGATGGGAAGGATTTTTTTCTTTTTTTTTTTGTTATTGGGAATTGAACCCAGGCCCATCACAGTGGGCTACATCTCAGTACTTTGTCAATTTTTTTTGCTTTGTCAATTTTTAAAAAATTTATTTTTCTAAATCTGGGGATTTAGCTCAGCGGCATAAGTGCCTGCCTTGCAAGTGTACAGTTGCCGGTACCATAAAATATAGATACTTTTCTTTTGTAGTCCTAGCTTACTGGACTAACTTGTATCCCTGTTTACTTATTTTTTTGTGGTACCAGGGATCAAACTCATGACCTCACACTTGCCAGGCAGGTGCTTGTGCCACTGAGCTAAATCCCTGGCCCTATGTATTTATTTTTTGAATCAAGACTCTAAGTCACTACATTGCCCAGGCTGGTCTTTAACTTGGGATGTTCCCGCCTCAGCCTCCCAGAGTGCTGAGGTTATAGGTGTGTGCCACCATGCCTGGCTATGGGAAAAGTTTTAAAAGGATAGCGCCCCTCATTGCAGCCCTGGCTCCCTGTAGATGGAAGGACATGGAGTTGGCCACAGACAGGCAACCTTGGGCCATTTTGCCTGGTGCTGAGGTCAGGTAGGGAACTCTCTGAAGCCCTAGAAGCCACCCTTCTTCCGTACCTCCCGGACAAGCTGATCATTCCTTGTGTAGCTCCTTCAGTTCCGGGTACACTCCTCTATCATGTATCATCCTGCACTTTGGTGCAATATTTACGTTCTGCCTTCTCTCCCAGCTGTGAGCTCCTGGGGGGCTCTTTACCTCCCACGATTGTATGTCCAGTACCTAAAACTGAGCCTAGTGCATAAATGGTGCTTAAAGAAGGGTTGAGGCCTGAATGTTAATCCGTGCAAAATTGACAAGAGGCAAATTCACTATCATTTCAGGGGTGCTCAGCTTGGGCCACTAGGAGAAAGGCCTGCGTTTCCCCACCAGTCCATACACCCAGGTGCCCGTAGGCCCCAGCTCCCCCTTGTCCACCCCAGCCTCGGCCCAGCCCTTACCCATGGATCTTCTGCTGGGCAGCCTTACTCTCCAGCACTAGCCTCTGGTTGGTCAGCTCCAGGTCTCGGGCTGTCAGGTCCAGCTGCTCGTACACTTTGGCGTGCTGCTCATTCACGTGACGTAGCATGTCCAGCTGCTTGGTTAGGTACTGGCGGATGAAGGGGGAATGGAATAAACTTCTAGGATGGCTCAGGGGTAATGTGTCCTCCCACTCCTAGAGACAGAGGACCGATAAGGATGCCCAGGGTAGTTGTATATGCCCTGCTCGAGGCTGTCTATTAAGAGGATACCTACTGCAAAGATGTACCCAGGCTAAGGGCACCCGGTAGCTGGGCGAAGCCTCACCTCGATCTCTTGTACTTGCTCCTCATTGGTGGAGTACATCTGCTGCAGGGACTCCTCTAGTTCCTTGTTCCTCTCCAGCAGGGTCTTCCCCAGCTCCGCGGCCAAGTGTAAGTCTGGAGAGGGGGCCAGAGCGGGATGCACACCAACATGAGACAGTCAGAGGACCCTCACTAATGCTCTAGGAATTCACTGTGGGCCTGGTGACTCCAAGGCCGGCAGCTCTTAGGAAGCTTCCAGGCCTAAAGGAGGCCAGAGCCAGAGCTAAGCCTTAGCACTGCTGTTGCTTCCCTCCACCATGTCCCCTCTCAGACACGCCGCCTCTCCTTCCTCAAATCCACGCTTAAATGTCACCTTCTCTTGGGGGTCTTTCTCAGCCACATGACTCAAGTCACAGCCTCTCCTGCCCTGCTTTCTCTTCAACTTACTTGTTGCCTCTAGCATTTAGCACCATCTAAATTACCAAACAAGACACTCAGTTATCTTGTTCATCTCCCACTACTAATTGTGAGCTTAGGGTAAAGGGATCTTTCTGTTTTGTCCACTGGTATCCTTAGGCTCTAGGACCATGTGTACCACTGGGCAGTAGAGCACCCCTGGGTGTAATCTCCAGTACTGACAAAGCAATGCAGAACTCTGTGTATGTATGGTGTTGGAGGAGGGGAAAAATAGGGTACAAGGGAAATATACCACCCACAGAGAGGTGCTATTAACATCTTGGTGGCCATCCTTCCAAACAGTGCTTAAAGCATTCATACATCTGCTAAAAACAGGACATGTTTGATCTGTTTTAACTTTATGAGGTGATCTCTTAAAAGTGTCCTCAATCTAGGCTAATGGTAGAAATCTGAATTAAGATACATACATGCAACTCCACAAGGACCCACATGATATGCTTCAAAGACTCAGCTCATTAATGTTTTCCCTTCCTAGATGCATGGAGATAGTTCTGGTGTCCCCAGAGGATGGATGGGCCTTTATTCCCTCCTAGGAGGTGCCACAGATATGTCTGGTTTCACAAAGCCATTTGCTGCACATCAGACAAGTCTGGGCAGGGGTCTCCCCTCTTGGATAAGCACCAGAGAGCAGGCACTCTGGGAGTGCAGTTGAGAAAAGGGCCTTGGGTGCTTTCAGCCAAACGGGGGACTAACTGATGTCACTATGTGAAAGGCAGATGAGCCAGGTATGGTGGTGCATGCCTGTAATCCCAGCAATCTGGGAGGTTGAGGCAGGACAATCAGCATTCTTGTCCAGCCTAGGCACTTCGTTGACTTATCAAGACCCTGTTTCAACAATAAGAAAAATTTTTAAAAAAGGATGGAGATGTACTTTAATGCAAACACTCTATGTTCAATCCCACGTACCTTAAAAAAAAAGGGGGGTGGTGGTGGCTGAGCAGTTACCAGTCCTAAACAAAAGGCCAAGCTGCCTATCTGGAATAAACTTGGAGTCTGTGTTCCCAGGCCCAGCAGGGAGTTTTTGAAATAGCCAGAGCAGGCCAGGCATGTTGGTACATTCCTATAATCCCAGCACTTTGGAGACTGAGGTAGGAGGATCACTGCATGTTTGAGACCAGCCTGGGCTACATAGTGAATTCACAGCCAACCTGAACTGCATAGGGAGACCCTGTGTCACAAAAAATAAGTAAGTAAATAAATAAAATGGAGAAGAGAAACGGCCAGAATGCAGTCTCCATGGCTGGCCCAAGCCAGGGGAGGGGCTCATGCCTGGGTGTCTCGGGAAAGCGGAGGAAAGCTACTGCCCTGGAGACTGGGTGGGGAAACAAAATCAGCTTTCCCAAAGAAAGTGCACCTACTTTTATACAAACCATGGATGGAAATTTGGAGCCTCAGGCAACAGACTTGCTGCTGAGGATGCCAAGCAGTCCTAGTCACCTAAGGGGAAGCTAGTGAGGGAGCATGGACGCTCGCTCGCTGTGAGAATTTGTTAATTGCAAATCGGGCAAATGTTTGGCAGCACCTGCAAAGCATCACATGGTTTGCTGTTCTAACTGTTGAACTACAGGCCTGTGTTATGTCATGTGCTTGGCGATAACTGGGGGCCCAGCAAAGATGAGAGAGCAAGGACACCTTCCTATTTCCAGGGACAGGAGGTCAACTATTCAGCCCATAATTCTGGCATAAATGAAGAATGCGCCAGGGTTGGTGGCGCACATCTGTAATCCCAGTCACTTGCAAGGTTAAGGCAGGAGGATTGTGAGTTTGAGGCTAGCCTGGATACCTAGCAAGAGCCTGTCTCAAAAAGCTGAAGAAGCACAACAGTGCAGTGGGCCACCCTCCTGAATGCTTCCTCCCTTGGAGCCAGGATGTGGCCTGAGAAAGGCCGTCACTTTCTGTAGGTGGCCTGCATGGGGCTCCTGCAGCTTAACTAGAATCCAAAACCACAGAATCTGAGACAGAAGCAAGGCCAAAGGCGCCTCCAACATCAGGGGCAGTGCTGCTCCTCTGCCCACAGGCTTCGGCAGAATACACCTCACCTGAGCCGGAACCTTGAGCCTGCCCCATGTGGGCAGTGAATGTGATCTGGAGGGAGGAAAACACAACAGAAGCTGTTTGAGATTGGCGGGGGAAACTGGATCACACACAATGCCCAATGAGCTACTGGGTTGCCCGGAGGAATCACAGGAGGGGTGAGAGCTGCAGAGCAGGGCACTGCAGGGAGCCAAGCACTAGGAGAGGACCCCAGCTGGCTGCGGGCTGGTGCTGGCTGCGGGCTCCATGGGGGAAGGGGCTAAGCAGGGCATGGAGCCAGCAGCAAACAGCCTATCACAGCCAGATCAGTGGGCTCCACTGCGCCAAGCAGGGAAGATTCTGACCCTCCCCTGGGATTTGGATTTTCTGGGGTCTCCTTCAGGAGGCTTTGTGGAAGGCTTTGTGGAAGGCTTTGTGAAGCAAATGCCCCAGAGGCCTGAGAGGGAAGTGCAGGGAGACCCATGGTTATCTCTGAAGAGAAACCTGAAATTTCTTTTTTTTTTTTTTTTTTTTTTTTTTTTTGGTCTTTTTCGTTTTTATCGGTACCGGGGATCAAACTCACGACTGGCTGCTTTCAAGGCAGGCGCTTATGCCGCTGAGCTAAATCCCCAGCCCCTGAAATTTCAACACTCTGGGAGGCTAAGGCAAAAAGATCACAAGTTCAAGCTCAGGCTGGGCAATTTGGTGGCAGTAAGATCCTGCCTTAAAATTAAAAAAAAATTTTTTTTGGTTCGTCTGTTGTTTTCATTATTTTTAATACAGAAATTTTTAATAAAAGCTGGGGATGTAACTTAATGTGAAGGCCCTGGGTTCAATTCCTAGTACTAAAAAGAAAGAAAGGAAGAGAGAAAGAGGGGAAAAAAACAAAGAAGAAAAGAAACCTCAAAATCACACCGCCCTGCTCGACTGAGGTGCAACAGACTCCACAATAGAGAGGTGGGAATGGGACAGGGAACGGGCACAGGAAAGATACAAAGGTACAGGGCATGGGGTGGAGGTGGAGGACACCAGCTATAAGCAGTGCTGCTCACAGTGCCCACAGCACAAATGTCAGAAACCTAGAGTCCACCGAATTGGGGTCAGGTCATGTTTGCGGTGACCAGTATAGAGGAAGAACATTCCTCTCTTCCCATGTCAGAGCTCTCCCCTGAGGTTGAGGACTTAAGGTTGGGCTAGGAAGGGGAGGAGAGGACAGACAAGAGGATTTCACCTCTGTGACTCAGCAGCCATCCCACAGCTTAGACAGCGTTATCCCCAGGGTGTGCCACGTCGGGTCTAAGGTGAGGGAAGGAGGTGAGCAGAGAGAGAGGCCAGCGCTTAATAATGAATGGATTTTTTCTATTTTTACAGTTGCTTGTGGTAGCGGGCAGAAGGAGCAGAGTGAACCTAGGGCCTTGCTGGTCCCAACCATCTCCTTCCAATCCAAGTCAGACAGGATATCCAGGGTATTTTGGGAAGTAAAGCCCAGGCATATCCTAGGGGTTAAGGAAAACAGACACAGAGGGAGACCAGATGGATGGATGAGAAAACCACTCCCTGGGCCACCCATAGGCAACCAGGGAGCAGCTGTGCGGAAGAGAATTTGGGGACTGAGTATAGGGAAGGTGGATGCCACCGCCACCTGATCCCCAACTCCAGCGTGATGTCCTTTGGGTGCACCCCATCTCACCATCCAGCTCTCTGTGCCAGGCCCCCAGGGTTGGAGGGGGACTGGCGCCTCTGTAGCTGCCTGGGACTTTCTCTGCCTTCCACCCCCTTTTCCAGTCTTTCATGTGGTTCCTTTGTACAAGCATCCCTCCCCTTAGCATGCCAGGAGCCAGGGCTCAAACCTTTCTGAGTCTTTGCTTTCACTGTCTCTGGGTTGAGGATCCTGCAGGAACTAGTAGACACAGTTGTCAGTTTGGTCTCATTTCTGTCTTCTCTTCTGGAATGTGCAAGCCCTGAGGGCACAGATTATTTCTAGGTCTGCAGGATCAGTTTGGCATCTGATCTACGGCAGGCAGACACTTGGTTTTTGATGGAAAGCTCGTTTCTTCTGTGACTGTCTCACTATCCTTTCTCATAGGCTCCAGCTACCACTGGTGCTGCAGATCAGCAGGGCCCAAGAATTGGAGGCCTGCTGGTCCCCATCACTCACAAGGCCTCAGAACATAGCTACTCAGCCCTACCGGAATCTCAATACTTCTCCCTCCCTAGAAACGTATATCTACCACCCCTACTCCCTGGCTCCTTCCTCCCACATCTGGGCTGGGCACAGTGCCAAACCTTCATTAGGGGTGCAGGAATTAAATAAGACTGCAACAGTATCAGCATCTGCTTCCCAGGGAGGCCATCTTCCCCAGGACTCAGCTTCTGAGCTTTGCTTCTAAGCCTGCCTCTTCTAGGAAGGCATCCGTTAACACTGGATCACTGATAGTTACCAGCAGGCCTCTATTTACCAAGATATGCTGAGAAGCTCAAGGCTGTGATTATTCCTAGCTCCCAAGATGATAAGTAGCATTTAAGTGGGTGCATAGGTGTTTGGGGAATGGGAAAATTTGGGGTGAGTGTCCATGGGAAGGAGTTTGTCACAGCCAGTGTGGGCTCTCTTTGGGGGGAGCTGAGGCTAGGGTCCAGTGCACACAGCACAGCAGGGTCTAGCCTAGCATCTTCAGGTACTAGGGGACATGGGTCCCCTGAGGTCTGATTAACAGTGCAAGGACAGTGCCTCATCTGCCTTTGCATCTTGCCTGCGCGGGGAAGTGGGTCAGGGCCAGAAAACAAAGGTGCCAGGATATAGGTAGATGCCTCCTGTCAGAGCTCTGGGGACCAAGGCCTGATGGCACCCAGTGCACCAGGCTTGTGTCCAAACCATCCAGGCCTGCAGACTGTGGAAAGGTCACTTCTCCCTGGATTCCTCCAAGAATAAGGCACCTTGAGGGCAAAGAGGATGGGTTTGACTCTGTTCTGGCCGGCCTTGGGCCTGACCCTCTCAGGCCTTCTCCTTCCTGTCCCAACAGCCCCACCCCTGCTCCCGGTGATGTCACTTCTGTCACTGAGGCCACCTCATCACCAGTTTCTAACCCCCTTCCAGTGCCCTCTCTGCCCTCAGATGAGGTGGAGAGGGTGGAAGTGGCTTGCTCTGGGCCCCAAACTAGATCCTTTCGGAATCCGAGCAATGTTGGAGGGGCTTCCGGAGGGGAGGGGCCAGGCAGCTCGTCCCTCGGGAAGGCAGATTGGAGGAGACTGCACCACGTCTTCACTGGCACGGTCCCCTACCCAACTCCCTTCCGCTGGGTGGGGGTAGCAGGAGTGAGTTGCAGAAACTTCCTGGGAGTCTTATGACTACAGAAGTCCTGGCAGGAAGAAGTGCTGCTGGATTTGAAATGAGAGGGCATCCCTGTGCACACAGCACCCTCCACCCTAAGGACTGCCAGCCAGTGCCTGGGGACTAGCGATACTGGGGTACCTGGGCAGTTGGTGCCTCTAAGATGAGGTAGCAGAGCTAGATGACGAATGCCCTGTCGACGGGGGAGCTATGAATAACCCCCGCCCCCACTTTTGCAGGTCTCCTCGGGTCCTGTCCGGGCCAGCGGCCCTGTCTCCACCTCCAGACGCACTACTCCTCCTCGGAGTCGGGCGCCCCAGCTCCGATCCTGCCTAGCCCTTCCCGGGGTGATACCGCCGGACAATGGAGTAGCGGGCTGGGTCGCAGGGTGCACCCCCTTCTCTGTCCCCCGCGCTCACCCTGCTCCAGGTCCTGCTGGTCGTACCAGGGCTCCTCTTCCTCCGCGGAGAAGTCCTCCATCCCGGCGGCTCTCCGCATGGCCCCCACGGGCGGCGCTGGGCAGGCGCTGCGGCGGCGCGGCTCAGGGCCGGGGCTCAGGGCCCGGGACAATGCGGCGGAGGCGGGCCGGGCCTCCCGCGTCGCGCACTCGGGCTGCGGCGACCCCTCCCGCGCCGCGCCCCCTCGCCATCCGCCGCCGGTCGGGCGCCCACCCGGGGCCTGGCGTGTCAGCGGTCACGCCCGGCCGGGGATCGGCGGAGCTGGGGGCGCGGAGCCGCAACTGCACAAAGGGTGGAGGGGTGGGGACGGGGGGCGGGATGGCAGCAAAGAGGGCCGGGGCCGCCGGGAGGTCCGAGGCGTTAGCAGCGCGCGGGAGCCGCGGTGCGCACCCCCTACCCGACTGCGCACCGCGCCGTCCCGGGTCCGACAGGCGACACCCCGCGCGGCCGCTGCATCTTGACGGGGCCCGCCTGCAGCTTCCAGAGTCGCCAGCTCCACGGGGAGGAGGCTGACCGCCGGAGACCAATCAGGAGGGGTATGCAAAACTGGAGGCGGGGCCAAGGGTGGGAACTGTCTAGTGTCGGGGTTTGGGAATCGCTGGCTTGACGGCGCGGTCCTCCCCGTCTCCGGGTTGGACTTCAGCTCACGTCTATCTGGTCTACCTGAAATGATCTTAGGTTTACCTGTTGTGTGTCCTGGGTCTCCTGTTCACTGCGAGCCCTCACTGCGTAGAACAGGCTGGCCCATCGATACCTTCTATAGACATTCTTTGAATATTATTTTGCAATTACCTTAAAGATTTTGAGTGTTTAAAAGCTGATGGCCAGAAATCGCAGGTTAGGAGCCAGCGATGTTTGGAGGCTCTCACAGTACTTGCATTCTCTTTAAGACTCTTTTTCTCTTTCCTTGGGACTCGTTTCCTAAATCCAGTTACATCCCCCCAAAGCACACGGTTTCACATACCAAACTTGCTTTCCTTACAGGATTTTTCAGGCTCAAGATTCATATGGCTCATTTTTTTCTAGGACTCATGGTGTGCCGGCACTGACATACTCTGAGTCTAACTAACTCTGAATAAATGTGGCAATATATTCAACGCAGGATTTGTGCCCCAAATATAGACAAAATACCTGCGAAGCCAAAAGAAAAAAGGTGTGTGGCCCAGGAGAAAAGCGTAAAAAAGACTTAACCAGACAATTTATACAGATGGGTATCAGAGTGATCCAATAAACATCTAGCAAGGAAATATGTCAGGAGATGAAAGTTAAACACACAACTGGATACTACTACTGCTGTTGTTTGGATCTTACATGTCTCCCATGGACTGTGCAATTAGAGATTCGATTCCAGGGTGGTAAGGGGCCTACTGGGAGGTCCTTATGTCACTGGGGGCGTCCCTGAGGTAGTGCCTTCCTTGTTATCTTTATTTACCAGTCGTGATGTGAGTGGCTTTGTGCCACTGCATGCTCCCACTGTCATGAACTACCTTGCCAAGGGTCTAAAAAAGTAGCAGGGCCAATGATCACAGACTGCAATCTCCAAACCTCCAATCTCCAAAGGACCAAAAGAAACCTTTGCTTTTTGTAAATTGCTGTGTTAGTATCTTTCCATCACTGTGATGAAATACCTGTGATAAATCAATTTAAAAGGAAAAAAGACTTGTTTTAGCGCATAGCTTCAGAGGTTTCAGTCCCTGTTGCTTTTGAGTCTTTGGTAAGGAAGTGCGTGGCAGATGAAACAGCTCATTTTTGATAATCAGTAAGAAAAAAGAGAGACAAGAAGGGCCTGAGAGCCTAACATCCTCTTTAGGGGCACGGTTCCAACAACCTAACTTCCTTTCATTAGACCCACCTCTCAGAGCTTCTGCTACATCCAGGTAGTGTTGAAGGGTGAGGTGTAAGCCTTTATTTAGTACATGGCCTTTGGGGTACTTCTAAACCATAGTAGTTGGTTATCTCAGGAATCTATTATAGTGAGAGAAGTTGACTAACGCAACTTACACGGGGCAAAAATTTCTCTTCTTAAAATTTAAAAATCAGAAAATGCCCAGTGTTGACAAGCATATTGAGCAACCTAAACTCTCTTCCACTGCTGATGGAAGTGCACATTGGGACAGCCACCTAAGAACATTGGTGGATAAGATCTAGGAAGTGAAAACAGGCTTCTGCAGGCCGAATTCCTTGGCAACTGATCCTGAGATGGAGATTAGCCTGCAGGAAGCTGGCTAGCGAGCACTTTCTGGGAAAGAGCACAGGGAGAGGCCTGATTGGGCTGTAGCCTAGACGAAGGCCTCTCCTCAAGGGCGCTGACTCTGGGTGGTGCTTCAAAGCTATTTCCAGTGGCAGTAGGGGAGGGGGCTTTGTATCCCCCTTCTGCACACATCAACTGTCATCAAGTGGATGCAAGCTGCCATTGGGAAGTGTCTTAACTTTGGCTATGGGAGTACTTTTCAGTGGTTCTCAGCAGATTCTCAGAGAGGCCTGGCAGCTTTGGATGGTCAGCTAGCAGCCCGCTTAGCAGTTGAGGAAACAGGTCCTGAAGGAGAATCTGTGGAATGAACCATGGCACACTCAAGTCCTATGACCCAGCAACTCTGTTCCTGCGCACAGGCAACAGAAATATGTACATATGTGACCAAAAGGCATGTACAAGAATGTTCCTAGCAACATTAGCCATAGTGGCTCATTCTGGGAACAACCCAAATGTCTGCCAACAGTCAAGGAATGTAGTATATTCATGTATATAGCACAAATTAAAAGTTAGTAGTACAGATGCAAAGAGAAAATATTTATATCCATTTCTTGGGTTGTGTAACAAACTGTCCTAAATACGATGGTGTGAAAGAAGATACATTTATTATTTATAGTTCTGTAGGTTAGAAGGCTAACATGGCTCCCACCAGCTCAAGTCAAGGTGGTGGCAGAGCTATGTCCCTTCCAGAGGCTCTGACCTCCCCTGCCATCGCCTGTACTTTTGTATACCATTAGGATGTAATGGTGTTGGGCCCTCCTGAATAATCTTAGATCATCTTCCTATCTCAAGGTTCTCAATTTAGTCACATCTGTAAACTCCCACAGTGTCATGCAGGGAATATGTCCAGAGATGCTGGGGATTAGGATATGGGCATTTTGGGGATCACGATTATACCTATCACAATTCTGTTTAACCTCATTTATATAAGGTCCAAAATGGGCAAAAGTAATTAGGATAGTGCTTAGCCCTGGAAAAACACATGAGAAACTCCAAGGTGACTATTTATTGTGGTGTTGGGGATTAAATCTGAGACCTTCACATTAAGCTGCATCCTAGCCTCACACCATTTGTTTGGTTTTTGAGATGGGCTCACTGTGCCTGGCCTTGAACACATTATGCAGCCAGGGTGGCCTTGAACTCATGATAATTCCCCTGGCTCAGCCTCCCAAGTGTGGAGATTACAGGCATGTGCCACCACCCTCAATTCCTTTTTTATTTGTAGACAGGGTCTCTCCTGAGTGCTAGGATTACAGGAGTAATCCTGTATCCTAATGCCTGGCTTATCACTGTAACTATTTTTAATGTACAACTCAAGAGTTGTATAATGTATACATCACTATTCTCTCTCTCTCTCTCTCTCTCTCTCTCTCTCTCTCTCTCTCTCTCTCTCTCTCTGGTACTGGGGATCGAACTTGTGCCAGGCAGGTGCTTATGTCAATGAGCTAAATCCCCAGCCCTATCACTTGAACTCTTATCATTTTGTAAAACTGAAATTCTGCTCCTATTAAACACTATTTCCCTTTTTG